AGAAAGGCTAGAAGTGAATTGATGGTAGCATTCCATATTTCATAGCTGATACAGAATCAGACATCCATTCTTACTTGTTTGGTTTTTACTGGTGCTCTTACGCAGTTTAATTATACAAATTACCTCTGTTCTGGGTAGAAAGCATGTGGAAGATATCTGTTCTCCTGTACAAGGAATTCACAGTCCAAACACACAGAGTTTGTCTTTGGCTCATTCCATGTTAAAAATCGAGATGGAGTTTTTTAGGAGTATATGTCCAAAAATACTGCAGGAAAGCTATACCAGCGCATCTCATCAGAATATGGTCGTCTTTTGATTTTGAAAGCACTCTTTATATCTTCCCTGTAATCCCTTAACATACAGAAGAACTGATAATTGCTTATTTGAAGAAAAAACAAAGTCCCTTTTAAAAGAGATATGTCATGGTTATACAGAGATATTATTCTGCAAACTCTTTCTCATCTAGTTACCTCAGAAAGCATATTGATATAGCTTTAGACAAGAGACATATATTCCAGGTGATCACAGGATTCTGCATTTGTAGGATGTTAGCTTGTGAAGCATGCAGAGATGCAGCATGTTCTTGAATGTCAGCTAGTCATATGCAGGAATTTGGGATATTCTGTTAATGCTACCCTCATTGTGTTTTTCCCATTCCATCTGCTGCTGAATGTAAGAGAAAAAATAATTGAAAAGGGCTATAAGCAGGAAGGCATGTAAATGCAGTTATCTCTATTAACTGGGCAGATGGGAAAAAATTATTCCAAGTATTCTTCCTCATGCTCTTTGCTGTTAATGTCTGCTTTGTAGGATGTTTACCTGTATTTTGCACTCAGATAACCTCTCTTTGTCAGTCCCTAGTACTTCTCTCTCGTCTTCACAACACTTTTTCGGGTATACAAATATCTTTGAAGAAAATTAATTATGCAAATTAAGCAGAATATAGTTATTTATTCTGAAATGTGGAATAAAACTCGCCAGCAAAATGGCAAAGTTATCATATTCTAAAAACTGAAGTTAAGATTTATTCCCCACTTATTTAAAAACATGGGGAGAAAGTGCACCAGAGTATATAAGAACACTAGTGATTTTCATTTCTTACTTAGGAATAACTTGTTTTCTTAATGAAGCATATTTAATCGCTGTCCTGTAGACTCAAAGCTGGTTCTAAGTTAACTTGGTGACCTTAGGGATCCTGGGACGCCTGTCACATTTAAAACTGTGTTAGGAAATGTTTTACACAAACAGACAAGAAAACTCACTGTAAAACTGGGGAATTTTGTTTTACGGTAGTTAGTTAGATTTTTCTATCAATAAGAAGAGTATTTTTTGAGCTATCAGCGGAAGTACTAATGACCTATGAGTAGGCACTAGTACTAATCTCCCTATGAGGGGATTAACCTGCTCTGCTCTGCTCTGTGGCATCACCTTGAACATTGCGTGCATTTTTGGGCACCACAATAGAAGAAAGATATTAAGCTGTTACAGAGTGTCCAAAGGAGGGCAATGAAGATGGTGAAGGGCCTTGAGGGGAAGCCATGTGAAGAGTGGCTGAGGGCACTTGGTCTGTTCAGCATGGAGAAGAGGAGACTGAGGGGAGACTACATTGTGGTCTACAGACTACTTCTGTGTGGTGACCAGTGACAGAACCCAAGGGAAGAGCCTGAAGCTGTGTCAGGGAAGGTTTAGGTTGGATACTGGAAAAAGGTTCTTCAGTGAGAGGGTGGTTGGACACTGGAAAGGCTCCCCACGGAAGAGGTCACAGCATCAAGCCTGCAAGAGTTCAAGAGGCATTTGGATGATATTCGCAGGCACATGGGGGATGATCATGTGCAGGGCCAGGAGTTGTACTTGATGATTCTTGTAGGTCTCTTCCAACTCAACAAATTCTGTGATGCTGTAATTCTGTTGAAATGGGAAGTGATTCAACCTATGCTTTGGTAGGGAGGTGGTGATTAATTTTCTTGGAATAGATTTTTTCTAAACCAGATCCATTGCTAAGCATTGGAATTTATGCACTTGTTTCTAAGAAATGCTTACTTTGTGAGACAATCTCTTACTTTGTGTTGATTTTATATAGCTCCTTATATTGAAATAATTATTGATTTGTTGTAAAATCAGTCTTCCTTCTGTTATGTTAATTCCTATGTACTTTTTCCAGAATTTTTTTCTTGACCCTTTTATGAAAATGACCTGCTGACTTTTTTGCATATTGTTTTGTATGGGTAGCAACATGAATGCAGATTTCTGCATAGTGTATGGCTTGGAGTGGCTGCATGTAAAATAAAAATGACATTTCATAGCAGAAATACTTGTTTTGCTCTGTTGGTCACTGGCTGAGATAGTGGAGTGTAACCGTGTCTAAGATGATTCACAGAATGCTTTAACATGTGATTGGCTCTAAGAAAAGAAAATCTGATTCATGGAGTTATTTTTTCATGTTCCGAAATGGCATGCTTTGTGATGCCATTTTACTGTGGTTTTTTATGTAGTATGAAAGCAAAATAGTGCATAAGGCTTAAATCTGTGAGCGACGCTTGCCATCTGGAAGTTTTCAGAGCAGCTGAAGTCAGCCTTGCCAGCAGCACTTGGTGACCAAGTGACAACACTGTGTTGACAGAATCTGTGTAGCTAGTTAAATAACACCTATATAAATACAAATGAGGTGAACAATTTAATGTCAAGTTAATGAACTGAAGGGTTATTTGTCGTTATCAAATGCAACACTTTCTTTTTAGTACACAGCATGACTAAGACTATGTTGCTGAAACCTCACAGTGTCATTTTGCTAGCAAGGTACATTTTAGAGCACAGATTCAATTTCTCTCACTTTAACTATACAAGTAATGTATTTCTGGCAGTTAATGTCAGTTTCTAGTGATTTCACACAGATGGCGTCAGGTGTTTTACAGGTCTTTTTCCTTTTGTTATGAACACTTTTGCTGTGTAATACTGTGATTTATCTGAGTGTTTTTTTTCATTAGATTAGGTTAGCATTTTGGTGCCTTTGTAGCAAAACTTAATACATCTTAGAAACAGTTCTATCTAAAATTGTCAAAGGTATCTCCAAGTAAACCTTGGCATTGGGAAAAGGCTTGTGCTTTTTTTATATTCTCATAGAGTACTGCATGCCCAGAAATATCTTAATAGGCTGCATTTTGTAAATTGTCCTTGGCAAACCAGATTGTTTTGTACAACTGTGTGTGTAAAACTTAACTTACGCATTTAAAAATTTTCACAATTTGGTAACTTAAATATTCGTGAAGATACATATGTGAGAACCCTTTGGATATATTCAGCTGGAAATCCCACTGATTAAGTAAAATATCTATCTCAATACAGGCTGAGACTTTGACCCAAAGTGAGTTTTTGTTGACTGCCGATTCTTCCTTGTTATTCTGGTCATTATTTTTTACCACAATTAACATGCTTTGATGTGGTCAAAAAGGTGCATTTGCATAAGGAGTGGTTGGTTTGGTTATCAGACTTCTAAAGGGAAGTAATCAGAACTGTACATCAAACTTCTAGACAGACAAAGGGACAGATCATGTTATAATATCCTAAAGAGACTTCATGGACAGGACAGTCCTGCCTCTGAGTAGGGTCATGAGAAGAGTGTTTGGGGGGCAAGGGCTACAGTTCATGTGCTCTGTGCTATTTGTAAGAATCTGTAATGCAGTTAATCCATGGGATGTGCAGATGTTTCAGCCTCATCATGAATTAGAGTAACAAAATAGCTACTTGGTTTTATGATGTTTTTTAGTAATCCTATGACTAATTCATAAATTGTCAAAGAATAGTCTGTTGTATTGTACTAGTATCATAGGTTTAAGTGGCTATGGTGAACTGATGCAGTCAGAAGGATTAATTTTATCACATAAGAGGTCCCTGTGAAAGAAGAAGCAGCACCTCACACCACAGCCTTAAATGAAGTTACATCTGGTCCTAGACATAGGTTATCTAATTATTGGAGTAAAATCATAATGTTGCTAATGTGATCTAATTCAAAAGGTAGTAAGCAATAGGTTGAAGACAGAGATGTCAGCAGTAGTTTATAACTGTAAAATAAAAATAGCAGTAGTTTCTCCAAGTCTGACTATGTGCTGTAGTCTGGCTTTGCATAGAGAGGTGAGTGGCACAGCATTATCCCTCCTAGTTTTCACTACTTTTTCTCCCTCCCCTTAGCACCGCTGTTTTGTAAGACATTTAACACAGTTGCTGTCTGCAAACAGTTTGGTTATATTACTAGATGTGATCACAGCTTGTTTTAGCTCATGTCTGGGTATTGACTTGACTGGTATTTTGCCTTTCAATGGCAGCATCCCAGACTTCATAACAGTGTATCTGACTTGAAACTCATGACGGTACAGGTTGTGAGAGAAGAAAGGGGACTTGCCTACTGATAGAGGAAAATACGGTCGGTAGAGCTAAAAGAGAAGGCTGCTAGTCATACTTCTGAAGTAAAACTTGTCTTTGAGTTTAGGTATGCCGTATTTAGCCTAATGGAGAGGTGCATGATTTTTGTACTCATACCCCATCAACTGTTTATGAGAGGTGGTACCAAATGCTTTTCTGACACTTGAAAGTTCTCAAAGAACACACACTCTGTTTTAAACAGGAGGTGGAGAAGAGATAGAGAGTAATACAGGCAAAATGCTCAGTAAGGTCTGGAACATGCATTAGAGATGACTTTAAAAATCTCTAGTTCATAAGTATAGGATGAAACTATTAAATGATTATTTGCTATCAACAAAAAGGAACTGCCTAGAATAATTTTCCTTGCCTACAAAATAATATCAGCTAGGCGTCTTTCTTTTGCACTTATAACTACCACTATGACTTGTGTGGGATGGTAAAGGATTTTTGTTTAACTATAATTTCACACATTTTCCTAACAAGGGAAGCTTGTGCCTTGAAGGTATGATTTTGCTTAAGTCTGCAAAATGTTGCTGTGTAACTCTTCTGTTTTTTCAGTATAGCCTTTTCTTCTTTGTTGGTAGGTTCTAGAAAGTTTTAAGATCATGGATTACAGTCTGCTACTGGGAATCCACATACTGAACAGTGATGTGAAGGAAAAGGAGGGAGAGGGTTCACAAAGTGCAGCAGACACAAAACGTCATGGAGGGCAAAAAGTTCTCTATTCCACAGCTATGGAGTCTATACAGGGCCCTGGGAAGTCGGGAGATTCTGTCACCAGAGGGACAACAAGCACGTAAGTGCCGTAACTTTCTTTTAAGGTTACTGTTAAAACTATTAACAGGCAAAACATTCATGGGTACACCGCATTACAGAAATTGAAAGATTGAGCTTTTTTTGTTGTGTTTTTTTTGTTATTTTCCAAAAGCTGCATCATCAAGATTTGCCACAGAGCATGAAATTAAAATGTTGATTAGTAGATTGATAATCTCTAAATACATGATAGCAAATTTGATTAGTTCAGAGTGACTTATGTATGCACAAATGCATACTTTTGTAAGAGATGTTATAAGACAGCTATTACAAGAGTCTCTGTTATCATCTAATTTTAATTCAAAGCAATGTGGTGAAAAATAAGAAAAAATTATTTGTTCATATTGACATGGATATTCCTACAGTGCTCATTTTCATCTTGAAGTAGTAGGCTCAATACGTAGAATGGTATCTTCAGCCACTGAAGCACAGACACATGCAATCTCTCCTGAGATTAAGAACTGCTGCTTTCCTCTTTTTTTTCTGTCTAGTAAAAAGTGCTATAGAAATTTGATTATATAGACAATAGCTATTCTATTTCCCTCATAATATATTAAGTGCTAGTGAGAGCATTATATCTAATCAGTCCTTCATTATAATGAGAACTTAATTTTAAATTAAGGATCTACTTTTCTCCTGTGTAAGTAAATACAACTAATGATATAGGAACATGTGCTTAAACTCACTGCAAACAAATGGGAGAATTATGACATTTAGCATTTATAGAGAGTTTCCAGATGTTCAGAGCTCTAGAATATAAATTAGACAGAGCTTTATTTCACTCAATTTTTACAGCTCACTCACATTCACACAGAAGATGGTCAGTGCTATGGTGCATTGTATGGTGGTAGAAGTGTTGCGTTGGCAGTTTTGAGGGATGTTGGCAAAGCTGATTATATAGGTCATTCCAGAAAGTGTTCATACCTGGAAACCCACCCCACACTCCACATCAGTTGAGCTGTCGTGGTTCGGTGTGACAAGGAAAGGAGCAGTCCAGCTCCAGGGTTTGTTGCTCTTCAGTGAGATGGTTAAGCAAAGAAGCAACCGGCTAGCCTCAGCTCACACACTCTCGCTCACTCACACAGCTCAGCAGTGAGAGGCAAGGAGACAATACAGGTGTGAAACAGACGACAGCACAAGGCTGAACTGACTTTATTAACAGAAATGGAGGGTTCTTATATGGTTTACGGGGTGGCTTCAGGGACAGGGGAGGAGCATGCAAATCATCTCACACGCATTGGGTGCAGGGACATGAATAAACATAGAAGGGAGGAACTGGGTGGTAACAAAGGAGTGGCCAAAGGCAAAAACCCGCCAAACACACTGATTGGTTGGTACCTCCTGTTATCTCAGCCAATGGGGTAAATGTTGCTGCCCGAGAAGGCAGAAAAGTCCATGCAGAAGGGAACTCAAAATGGAGGACAAATCTACATATAGCTTCATCTCTCAACATCAACTTGCAATGCACAGTCTCAAGTGGTGGGTTTTTTTCCTCTCAAGTTCTTCTCTCCGAGCTCCCCAATGTATCTAGCTCTCCACTCCTGGTACGACACCACATCACTGCATTCCACTGATCCTGTAGAAGCTGTATTAACCCCAACACTGAGCTAATATAGATCATATATAATATGATAATATAGAGTCCTTCCTTGGCACCTTGCACTGTCTCCTCTCTCATATTGACATAACTGCTAGTGGGACAAACCTCGTTTAAGTGGATGAAACTAAGCCCTAGGTCAGTCTTCTGCTGTGATTCATTGTAAGGCTATATAAGGATGAGGAAGAGAATGGATACCCAGCAGCAATAACTACTACTAGCACTGTGTTTAATTTCTAGTCATAATTTTCAGGAAAAGCTGACAGAATATGGTTTTGTTAACCATTTAACACTTCTGAATATCTGAACAGTTGATTGAGCTGGAGTTCATGGTAATGGGATTTTACAGTAATTTAAACTTCACTGGTTCTTACAAGGTTTCCTTTATGCCTAGAATAATAAAAATGTGTTTCCCTCTCCCCTACTCCCTACCACCACCATCCCCCATTTGCCAAAAAAAGGAGAAGGTTGAGTAGTTGGTAACCAGGCCTCTCTTGTTGCTTTAGTGCCAGAACGGGGAAAATACTCTCAACTATGTCTTTGATAGCCGCTTCAGGTTTTTGTTTTCAAACTGTTAAAAATTATTCAGAGGTACTGCATGAGCTGTATCCTCAGTCACTTTTACTTCTGGTTTTGTAGTTTGCTCATGAATGTGAACAGAAGCTGACAAACTGAAAATTGGATTTCTGGTTCTAAAACAATGGACCCTTTTTTCTAGGTGGTGGAGTAGAAAGAGAGGGTCTTAGGATGAACGTCTTGTTCTTTAAGGTCATGGCTGAGTAAATACCCTGGACCAACAGGAGGCTCATGTAGTTAGGATACTCAGCTTGATATTGTTGCTTTTTCTGTCACTAATCTCTCTGTAAAGAACTTTTGGAAAAGCAAATTAATTCATAATTTACATAATAGTATATAATCTAACTAGGGGTTTTTTTCTATTTCTCTTAGAATGGGAGGTATTCCTGCAAAAAACCATAAAGGAGAAAAGCTGCTTCTATTTATGGGTATTATTGATATTCTCCAGTCTTATAGGTAAGTTGAATTTCAAGTTTGCATTGAATAAGCTATTCTGAAATGACTTATAAATATGAAAATTTTATAAAGCAGTTCTGATTTTGTTTTTACATGCTTAGGTTAATGAAGAAGCTGGAACATTCTTGGAAAGCTCTTGTTTATGATGGGGTAAGTAGATTTCATTACTTTTTTAAACTGTTAAAATTTTAGCTAATGGAACTTTGACTTATATTACGCAGGAAAAAGCTAACTCTGGTATATTTGAATTCTAACATTCCCATGTGGTTTGGGCTGTTGCTGAAATCTTTCCAGTACATGTTCTGATTTTATTTTTTGAGCTTTCAAAAAACAACTTATCATCTTGTCCTTATAACTTACACAAGACCAGCCACTTAGCAGGACATTGATGGATCTGTAACTGAAAAATACACATCGTGTGAAAAAACACATTTCAAATACTTGGAAGATTTTCTAGGATATAGTTGTATAATTCATAACTTATGATTTGATAAACTAAATGCCTAAAAAAAAGTTCTTGAAGAATCAACCTTTAAAAGGGAAAAATTGCTATGATTCACTAGTTTTGAGTATACCTGAAATGTATAATGCAGTTCACCTGAGGTGTCCAGCTTTCTTGACACTTTGCTTGTGATTTACTTATGGAAAATGTGACTGAGACCTTTTTCAATCTCATAGGATACTGTTTCAGTTCACCGACCAGGTTTTTATGCTGACAGATTTTTAAAGTTCATGAGCACAAGAGTTTTCAAGAAAGTTCAAGGTAAGAAAGTAGTGATTTTACTCCTTTAAATATTTTTTATTATTATTACTATATAACGCTCCTGCCTTGACAATGAAACAAGCCTTCCTTCAACATCATGTAGCATTTTCATAGCTCCAATGAAGAAACTAAATTTCTGTCAATTTGGATTACACTCTAATAGTAAAATTACAGAGAATTATTTGTTATGTATTTTTGGTCACATCTGGGGCATCTGAAGGTATAAGAGATTCATATATATTAGCAATGATATAAAGATAAATAAGTTTTATGATCTAATGATATGTCCAATCCTGTGTCTGGTATTTGTAGGAATACCTACATTGATTTTAATTTATTTAACTTGCAAAAGTAAAGATTTTTTACATGCCTCTGCCAGCATGTTTGAAAAATTAAGTATTCTTCCCTTTGATGTGCATTTTCTCTGTGTTTTATGAAGGAAAAATTATCCAAAGTTGAATATTAATACAATCTCTTGTCTTTATCACTATCAACCATTTCTAGTTTTCCCCTCCATTTCTCCTTCCTTCATCTTTTAATTAATTCCCAAGGATAAGATATATATTACTGTTATCTACTTACAGGGTGGTGTAGGCTGGATGCCAGGTGACCACCAAGCCACTCTATCACTCCCACTCCTCAAATGGACAGGGGGGGGAAATGTAACAAAAGGCTTGTGGGTCCAAATAGGGACAGGGGGAAATCACTCACCAATTACTGTCACAGGCAAAACTAACTCAACTCAGGGAAATTAATTTATTACTAATCAACTCTGAGTAGAGTAATAAGAAATAAAACCCAATCTTAAAAACTCCTTAAAACTCCCAATCTTAAAACCCCTCCTCACTTCTTCCCAGGTTGAATTTGACTCCAGAATTCTCTTCCTTTTCTCCCTAAGTGGCACAAGCTTTGTCAGTGTTAGTCCTTCACTGACTGAAGTTCTTCACCCACTGCCCCAGCGTGGGTCCCACATGAGTTCACAAGTCCTGCCAGCAAACCTTCTCCAGTACGGGCTCCTTTCTCCTCAGGACCACAGGTCCTGCCAGGAGCCTTCTTCAGCATGGGCTTCTCTCCATGGGGTCATAGTGTTCTTCAGGCATCCACCTGCTCCAGTATGGACTGCAGGTGGATCCTTGCTCCACAATGGACCTCCATGGGCTGCAGGGGCACAACTGACTCACCATGGGCTGCAGGGGAATCTCTGCTCCACTGCCTGGAACACTTCCTTCCCCTCCTTCTGCACTGACCTAGGTGTCTGCAGAGTTGTTGCTCTCACATATTCTCACTTCTCTCCTCCAGCTGTACACACACATCCTTTGCATCTTAAAGACACTATCCCAGAGATGCTACTACTCTCACTGATGGGCTCAGCTTTGGCCACTGGCAAGTCCCTCTTGGAGCCAGTTGGCATTTGCTGTATCAGATATGGGGAAACCTTCTGGCAGCTTCTCATAGAAGGCAACCCTGCAGCCCCCTGCCTCACCTACAAAACCTTGCCATTCAAAACCAGTACACAGGGGAGAAGAAGGAAAAAAAAAAAGCAAAGAGAAACCCACCATTGTTACAGAGGGACATTTCTACCAAGGGTTGTCCAAAAGCTTAAGTCTTGCAGCAGTAATTTAGCTATTGATTGTCATTTCTCTCAAACAAAATTAATTGATTTCTATAACTTAAAGTAGATCCTGAAACTGTAGATCCTCTTTAGGCATTAGAAATGGAGAGAAAACTAATCCTTTGTAGGTGAGTTCTTGTATGTTGTGTTTTAAACCCAATGGGCAGCTGAGCCCCAAATAGGCAATCACTCATCCTAGTGGGAGAGGGAGACAACTAGAATGTTAAAAAGCAAGAATACTGAGATAAAGCTAGTGTAATAGGGAAAGCAAAAGCTGTGTGTGAAAACAAATTAAATTCAGGAATTCATCCGCTCTCATGGTCAGGCAGGTGTTCAGCCATCTCTGGGAAAGCCAGGCTTCATCACATGTAACAGTGAGTTGGGAAGACAAATGCCTTAATCATGAATGTTTACCCCTTGCTCCTGTTTATCCCATCTTAAATTGCTCACCCTGATGCATATGGTCTGAGATATTCCTGTGGTCAGCTGATGTCAGCTGTCGCTGCTGTGTCCCCTCACAACTTCTTGTGCACATCCATTTCTTCGCTGGCAAGGCAATGTGAGGTACTAGCACTGCTCAGCAATAATTAAAACCTTCATGTGCTACTAATACTGTTTTTGTCACAAATCCAAGGCACAGCACCACAGAGCCACTATGAAGGAAATTCACTCTGTCCCAGCCAAAACCAGTGCACTGTAACTTTTCAAGAGTCCAAACACTGCCTACCATGTAGGCATATGAAGTTAGAGTTTGGGAAAAATATTGGAGAAATAGGTATCACATATTATTTCTTGATTCCAAACTGAAACAAACAAATTATTGTTGTCTTATCCCCATGGAGCGAGCAGGAGGGATATTTTACCATAATCTGGGTACAACCACAAAGCAAACCAACAGAATTTGCAAGCACTCAGAACAGATTTATTTTCGAACTTGCTGCATTTAGCCCAACTTTGATATCTATCTTGAATTGTAGTACCTCTGGGTGTGATAAGTGTATTCTTACTGGAAAAAAAAAAAATCAAAGTTTAGAGGCTCACCTTGATACAGTCTTCTTCCATCAAAAGTTCAGATCAGGTTTTCTTTTCACTTAGATTTTTACCACTGGAAGTCAGTATTTTTCAGGCTGTACTGGCCTTTGTTACTCTGCATGTTACCTAAAGATAATAACATTTTTCTAAAGATCAGTTGAATTTGTGAAACTCTCACCCTGTCCATGAAAAACAATGTTAGAAGCATGGCAGAATACAACAGCATATATATTTATATCTAAAAGCACAAGAGAGAAGAGGGAAAACTATGGTGCAGCAAGAAGGCAGAAGTGTACATGATAAATATTTTGTGAAATACTAAGTAAGAAAAAGAATAGAACAGATAGATGAAAGAAGAGAGCTGAGAGTAGCTGTACTAAAAAAAAATTAAGATATTTTAAGTGAAGGGAAGGAATCTTTAAAAAAAAAAAGAGAGAATTTGAATTTACCCTAAGCCGTGATTCCCTATATGCATGATATGTTATAACCCTTTTTTAGGAAAATAATTCTTTTTGGGAGTCTTATAAATATTAATGAATTTATGGATAATTTCTCTATGAGTTGATCATGCTACTGAAAGGAAATTCAGTCTGAAGCATTTCAAGTGCAGAGAAGGATGGCGATGAGGGACAAAAGAAGCCCTGAATAGCTTGGGAAGTGTACCCATGGAAACCTCATGAGGTTCAACAAAGCCAGCTGCAAGGTGCTGCTCTGGATCAGGGCAGCCTTCTTTATCAATACAGTCTGGTGGCATTCCCCTTTATCAATACAGCCTGGGGGATGAACAGATTGAAAGCAGCCCTGCTGAGAAGGACTTGAAGGTGCTGGTAGATGAGAGGCTGGACATGACCCGGCAATGTGCACTTGCAACCCAGAAAGCCACTTGTATCCTGGGCTACACCAAAAACAGTGTGGCCAGCAGGTTGAGGAAGGTGTTTCTGCCCCTCTGCTCTGCTCTGGTGAGACCCGCCTGGGGTGCTGCATCCAGCTCTGGGTCCCCAGGACAGGAAGGACATGGACCTGTTTGGGTGAGTCCAGAGGAGGCAACCAAGATGATTAGAAGAATGGAGCACCTCTCCTGTAAAATCAAGCTAGGCATTGTTAAATCCAGAGAAGAGAAAGCTCAGGGAGACCTTGTAGCAGCATTCCAGTACCTAAAGGAGACTTACAAGAAGGCTGAAGAGGAACTTTTTACAAGACCATGTAATGGAAGGACAAGAGAGGATGGCATTAAGCTGAAGGAGGGTAGATTTAGATTAGATATTTGGAAGAAGTTCTTTACAGTGAGGGTGGTGAGGCACTGGAATAGGTTGCCCAGAGAAACTGGGGATGGTCTATCCCTGGAATTGTTCATGGTCAAGCTGGATGGGGCTCTGAGCAATGTGGTCTAGTTTAAGGTGTCCCTGCCTGTGTCAATGGGGTTGGAACTAGATGATCTTTAAGAACCCTTCCAACATAAGCCATTCTATGACAACTGTGGAGATGAACTCCGGATGTTTTCAGTAGGGAAGGCTTTAGGGAAGACGTAATAAATATACTGGCAAGACAAGAATGAGATTTGATGTGATCCAGGCTGTTCTTTGGGGAAAAGCTGTTCTAAGTATGTGAGCACTGAGGTTTACCTTACAGTAAGACATACAGATCATGTGTTTTAAATACAATACATACATACTAACTTACTGCTTAACTACCAGATCATTTTTTAAACCTGTAGAGGTGGTGCTGAAATTTCACCTTCTTTTGTCTTTCTTTCTAATAAGGGCTGCTCCTACTTACCCTCTAGCAAAGAGTGTTTTCTGCCTTTTAAGGTTTTTTATGAAGCAGAGTACTTGACAAATAAATATAAACTGATGGGCTAGAGCTACCTAGTTTATAGAGGAACTTGTATTTTAAAATGAATCCTGGTTAGCAGATCCATAATCCTGCTCATGGAACTGTATTTGCTTTAGAGTTGAATGTCAAAATATGGAATGGACACTTGGCTCAAATACTACAGGAGGAATATTGAGCATATGGTATTGCATTAAACTGATAGAAGGTGTTTTTCAAATAGTTTGACTAGTATTATACTGGTCTCTTAAGTTCTTCATTAGTTATCTGGTGTGAGAAAAAAGTCTATGTGGATAGAGGGAGAACAAAACACAAATGAATGCTAGAACTAAATGAGATTTAAGGGAAAAAGAATGACTACAAGAATGACTATCATAAATAAAGGATTAAAGGTATAAATGTTAAATCCTTCAGAAAAGACTTATTAATATGAAAATATGAAAATAAAAGAATCTGATGTGATATAAAAAATATGAAACAAAATTCAGCTGAAATGAGGAATGAGCCTCCTGAGACTCGGTCCTCTTTAAATAAGAGAATAATTTTGCCAGAGAACTGGTAGGAGCTGTGTTGTCTGAGACAATACTCAAAGGAATTCCTCTGCATTGATAAAGAGTAAGAAGTATCTACTCCTTACTACTTGATACTTCTGTTTGACAAAATAAATGCCGTATATGTTTCCTCAACATTTGAGTCTTTTTTTTCTAGTTCTGTCTAATTCTGATCGCTAGATTTTTTTCAGCACAAGACACAGTCTGTTCTGTATTTGAAAGCTACGATGTACAATTAAAGGATATCATGCCTAATTTTCTCTCTTAATTTATCTGTCTCATTTTTCAGGCTATTAACCTGTCTTAATATCCCACTCTTATTGATCTGCTCTGCATACAGGGCTATTAATCTACCCTTCCACAAATTAGTGGTTCAAATGCATGATCATTCTTTTACAAAATAAAGAATTGGGAATGTTCCTGCCTTCAGGAACATTATTTCTAAAATTTGAGTCTGACATTTCAGTTTAAACACTTAAGCCCTATTCTGAATCTGTGTTTTTTCCTCTAGTGCACAGAACAACACTGCTTAAATAACAAGAAAAACTTAATAAGCAGATTCAGCCTTGGGCAGACTAGCTCAGCAGCTATCTACTATGCTGTTTTTCAACAGTGTCCTCAAACTATGCATCTGATTTTTCCTTCAGTCGTTAGCCAAGAGGCCTCGGTGCTTTTAATTTTAACTTCGTAGTAAAGGACAGTATAAAGCGTTACAGTGTATCTGAAGTAACCTTGCAGCAAATCCATGAAGGTCAGCAGCCAAGAGCTGAAAAACATTAAAAAAAAAAAAAAAAAAGCTGGCAGCATACTTCTGGAGAAGAACTACAAGTGGTCAGTTCCTATAGTTTAATTCAAAATGCTAAGTAGGCAGTCCCTATTACAGGGCTTAAAGGAGATGGTAATACCTGAGTGTACAGGCCATCAGTGTTTTGGAAATGTTTAATGAGCCCAAGGAAGATATTTGACAAGTGTCTGAAGAGAAAATTCTGCAGTTTCATTATATAGCAGTAGTTCACAGCTCAAGGAAATGGTGCAACTTCAGAATACTCTAAAATGTGTTTTCAGTTTTCCTGTCTTCCTTTTTTTCTGTATCATTCTATCTGTGACTACATGGGCTGATACTTCATAGAAGTTATTTAACTTAGTGATGTCAGTGACTTGACTTTTATTGTCCCATAATGAGATGTAAAAAAATCCCAGAAAAACACAAAAGTGAGAAGTAACAATGCCTTTTGCTGTGGTTTTAGTATATTGTTTGCTAAGTGGGTTTTTATCTGGACACGTTCTCATCTATATTCAGAAACTAGCTTTTATAGATGGCTTACTTTTCTATATGCTGTTAAAAATGTGCAGGGATATAAGATAACATAACTCAATACCTCTGTTCATTTGGTAATGCAGCTTTAAAGTCTTCACCTTCAAAGAAACGGTGCAATTCCATCACAGCCCTAAAGGCAGCATCACAAGAAGCAGTGTGTGCAGTTAGCCAGGAGTGGAAGGATGAAAAGCGTGGCATTCTTGCTGAAGGACAAAGCTATGCTAGCCTTGATGAAGAAGGTACTGCTTTTCAAATCAACAGCCTAAACAATGTGATACCAATCTGATAAATGAGCCCTGGTAGCATGGAAACAGTCCCAGAACCTTGGAAAAATTCATTAGATACTTATACCTCTGTTTGATATTTGACCTTTGAGTTGCTCTGTATTTTGCTGAATGTACTGGTTAGCAGCTTAAATTCACCCTGTAACACAAAAGACTGTGGGTGTGGGTGCATGAATATTACTGTCTCATCAATTCAAACATTAGGAATCTTCAAGAAACTGGTGAAACATAAGCTTGCATCAAGATTCTTGGATTCAAATTGAAATGAAATTTGTTAACGTTGTTCATTATTGCTGTGTATGCAGTACTAGGTTCACACCACCGTCCAGATCTAGTGCCAAGCACTCCATCTCTGTTTGAAGCAGCTTCCTTGGCAACCACAGTTTCTTCTTCTTCCTTGGATGTAGATGAGCATTGTCAACGTGATCGACCTACGCTCTATTCTAGCAGGTAAAGGCTCTATATGTGGCAGAGAATACACCACTATTTTGCTAAATATCTGACAATGTGTTCAATGGAAGGGAGAGTCTTCAAAAGAAAAGAAACAGGAGACAAGTGCCTCTGTAGCCCAGAGACCTTGAACCTTGAACCTCTCCAGTGAAGGAGGGGGGCCACAAGCACATAGGATTTATTATGTATTTGTTTGTTATTACACATATTGTATTTGGAAGGGTAACAAAATAGAAAGAGTGAATACAGCAAAAAATGATGTATGAATTTTATGTCATGTTCAAAAACTAAACAAGATATTAAAAACTTGCTTAGGCCTTAAATTGAACCATAAACCAAACTACATTAAGATCAATGTAGGAAGTACTTCTTGTGAGTTGGCTGTAGCTTAAAACAGCTTCAGAAAATGTGATGAAAGAAAACTTCTTTCAAGTTATTCCTTCTGAATGTACAGTGCTGAATGGTCTGCTTTAAATTCTTCCATAAGAACCATTTTCTGAACTGAATTTCTATGAAACTTTATCCATGGGTGTGATTACAGCCTGTCTGATTTTAATCCAGGAAGGGTAAAATCGGGAAAGTCTCAAAAAAAGTTGTGCAGATGCTTGTGAGCTAGCTTGAATGTGATTTGAGTTGTGTTTGAATCTGCTTCTGCCATGACTGTCCAATACCAATGCTTAAGCCAGTAAGTCCTGCTGGGAGATTGTCTCTGCATGTGCCTGTATGCTCCCTTGTGCACCTGAGGTGTGCTGTGTTTTGTCATCTTGCCTGCTTGTGGATCTCATTACTGTGTGTTGTACTGCAGAACAGCCACGGCTTTGCCTGTTTTTATCAAGAAGGTTTGCCACTGTGAACTCAAGTATCTTGAATTTTGTGTGGAATAATTTGGAATCCTGAACTACTCAGTGGATAAATTTGATAAAATTACTCATTTGCCAAGATGTAGTTGTTTACTTTAAACTACATTTTATCCGAAAAGATCAAAAGTGATATTAAGAGATTAAAAAATCTTGAGGCAGTAGGATTTTACCTCCTATTAAATATTTACCAACTGCATTTTCATAAAAAGTAAAATTACTTGCTCCATTACTTGATTAAAGTGATAATTACAGCTTCCACTTTCATTAAGTTGAAATAAATCTCACTGATGTGGCATTTTCCATAGGGCCGATGGTTTACTATAGAAATTTGGAATGAGGTGTTGTTTAGGGGTGTAACAAAGATGAAATTTTAATTACAGAACCAAAATGCCTCTACACAAGCTTTAGGACATAAAACTACTAAAGATTAAGCCTTAGAAGAAACAGATCTTGTTCAGTTCAACTTCTGTCAAAAGTTAGCTGTAGGACTTCAACATTTCATGATCTTTTACCAAGTTTTTTCTTTGATAGAAACAAAGTTATAGAGTACTGGGGGATTTTATTTGTTTTAAGTATAAAACAAAACTACAGAGCTGGTTTGTATTAACATCAGTCAGGAAAAGAGAACTGCAGAGTTGTCTGAATAAAGAGTTCAGATTTACTGCAAATAAAACATTTCAAATATTCTTTGCTCTCCATAAATTAACTGTAGAGAAAAGCTACAAGTAAGTCCATGATATTTTCCTGTAGAGATACTCCAAAATAATTCTAAAATAAATAAAGTTTTTAGCAGATCTACACTTTGATTGTATGTTTGGACTTGCTTACTTTCCAGTTGTGATTCAGTCAATGGAAGAGCCTCTAATGTAGTACATGTTGCCAGCTATGTGATTATGATATGCATCCTTACCTTACAAAGACTGTAACTGTAACTTACATTGTAACTTACCTTACAAGATTGTAACTGTAGTGCCTGCAGTCCAGGTACACATACTTTTAATTCACCCGTACAAGAGGATGTGTTCTCTAACACAGCAGACCTTGCACTACCACTCACAGATGTGGGGCTCTATCCATATGTTCTGTCAAAACATCTTACCCTATAGCCAGCAGATCTGCCATGGGCATTTACCAACTAACAGCTTTGCTGGTCTAGGTGTGTTCTCTTCAGCTAGGGCTTGGTGGCAGTTCTTTCTCCTCATCAAGTAGTGGTGCATGTCACAATATCAGTTTGCAGTTCAGGAGGATTAGCTTCCCTGTCATAGCTAGTGGCTTTCTTTTAGGAGTTAAGAAAGCTACTAGGCATGCTCAGTATTGAACTGATTTCCACAACATGAGTCTGGGCACTTGCAGTTTTGTACCCACCACTTTTTTCCTGTGTCAGTGCAGGAAGGTCCTTCCTTCTGGGCACTAAATAATGTATCCATTTGAAGTTTTTTATTTATGTTTTTATGATTCACTGGAGGAATTTCAGTCCTTCCATGAGAAAAGCTAGCAGGGAAACAAAAACACCAAAAAATCCATGTTGTGATGATGCACTGAATTGTAGGTATCTGAGGTGTTTCTTGCTGGAGTTCTGTTTTTGAACGTTGGAAAATTGTGTGATGCAGGACTAGTCATTTTTGCCATTTTTTTTCTGATAAACAGAAAGCTTGAAGCAGTCTTTGAAACAAAGCCTTAATTAAAAATTTGTTTACAAATGTGAGCCTCCTTTCAATATTTGAATATGTAATTGACTATGACATTCTGCTTTATTATATAATAGAATTACAGTTTGGCATCTTCATCTGGCTTTTTCCTCATCCTTCAAAGTGACCTAGCACAAAGTAGAGAGTAAACGAATTTGCCTGTGACTTGTCAGAAGTTTCTGGTTTAGGGTAATAAGGGGAGATAATCCTGTGTTCATAGTAATAACGTGATATTTGTACAGCTCCTTGACTCCTGTTAATGCTAATGAGCAGTGTGTGCCCATACCAGTCAGAAGACAGATGCTGTAATTTGCCTTATTAAAAAGAGAGCAGTAATACTTTTGGATACCTTAAGTACACACCATGTTTTATATTTGGTTTTTTTTTCAGAATTATCCTCTATTTCTATCATCCATCAATGTAATCCTTCCCCGAGGGGAGGGAAATGGCCCTTAACATAAGAAAGGAGATCAGCACCATCTCTCCTTGAGGGTGCTCAGCTCTCATGGTAGAAAGTGAGGAACTGCTGCCGCCAGTGAGGATGAGCAGTCAGAGGTGACTTACTGAGCCAGGGCCAATTCCTGAGGCTGTATCTTGTGAAGAGTGTTTTTGTAGACCTGTCTTGGTACAGATTAGGACTAGCATAACTAATTGGTAGATAATGCTGAGCAGCATTTGGGGACTTGTGATTACAGTGAAAAAGAGAAACAGAGCAGCAGTCATAAACATACAGTGTTTTTTCAGGCTGCAAGCTGATTATTTTTCACCAAATTATTCCTCAGTCCTTGAGAAGTTAGAGGAAGCTTGAGGTACTGTCCAAGAAGCGTGAAGAAGAAGATAGTAAAAGTATGAATGAAGGAGTAGTGAGGAAGGGAAAACAGCTGTATTTTTCAGCACAAAAAGAACTTGATCTAAAAAAGGGAAGGCAAAAGGAAAAAAAAAGGAGAAACGTGATGTGTTACTCAGCAAATGTACACTTTCATGTTTGTCAGAAGACATCTGGTTTCCATTCCATGAAGCTGCTTCTCAGTCAAGTGGTTCTATCATAAGCAATGTCAAGTATTCATTTAGTAAGAGAACAGAATTGACTGTTTATTGCTTCTATTAAAATTTTCAGAGATTTTCCACTCCTCAAGGAGGTTTATGTTTGGTGCAGAGACACTTTAGTACCTAAAAGGTCTATTTGCCACTAGAAAATTTAATTTTTAGTCCCAAACCACTTGTTTGAAAGGGTTTATTTGTTTTGTCTTAGGAAATATAACACTTACTATTATATTACAGATTATTTTTATAGCGGAAGTGATAACAGATTTTTTTCCCCTTTCCAGTAAAAGTTTTCCTAATAAGTACTGATGAATTAAATTAAAGATTACAAATCTGAATGATCTAAGCAGTATAATTCTTGTCTCACTTGACACTGCTTTCAGAATTGTGGAGAGCTGAAGGAGATTAATGGCTTTATTGGTGCTCCTGGAAATGTCCCAAACTTGTTTCAAAATGTTTAAAAATGTTTTAAACTTTAAATGTTTTAAAACTGATGTTTTAAATATTTCAAGAATACAGAAAGTCTCTTTGTAATGTATTTTTCAGCAGGTGTCATGTCTTCCAGTCCCATATCCAAACAAAATCACATGATGCATAAAGGGGTATTTAATCTCTCTGTATTTAGAGCAATGACAAGATACTGTGGGCTATATAAGGAGGACCGCTGAATTCTTCTGATACATTTGAGCCTAAGAGAATAGTCTATATGAAATCTAATTCTTGTTTCTCTTTATGCATTACATATCTCCTTTCTGTAAGATGTGTATGTAGCACATCTTTCTTCTTCTTCCTGCTTATTTTCCTGTATATTTTTAATTTTTTTGCTTGTCTTACCTTTGTGTTGCTATTTTTCAGTGGAGACCACTTGAAATTTTAGAAGGCTTTGAGAGGTTGTGAGGTTTTTTTTCCTCTTATACAGTTAAACTTCCTGAAACGTCCAAACTTTGAGATGAAATGTCCCATGACTTGACATTTTATCAAACGAGCTTTTCAAAGAATCATAGAATCAAAGAATTAACTGGGTTGGAAGAGACCTCTGAGATCAAGCCCAACCCTTGATCCAACCCCACTGCGATTACTAGATCATGGCACTCAGTGCCACATCCAGCCTCATCTTAAAAACCTTCAGGGATGGTGAATCCACCACCTCTCTGGGCAGACCATTCCAATACCTGATCACTCTCTCTGGAAAGAATTTTTCCTATTATCCAACCTAAACTTCCCCTGACAGAGCTTAAGCCCGTGCCCTCTTGTCCTGCTGCTGATTGCCTGGGAGAAGAGACCGACCCCCACCTGGCTACAACCTCCTCTCAGGGAGTTGTAGAGAGTGATGAGGTCACCCCTGAGACTCCTCTTCTCCAGACTAAACAACCCCAGCTCCCTCAGCCTCTCCTCACAGGACTTGTGCTCAAGTCCCTTCACCAGCCTGGTTACTCTTCTCTGGACCTGCTCCAGCACCTCAATATCCTTCCTGAACTGAGGGGCCAGAACTGGACACAGCACTCCAGGTGTGGCCTCACCAACGCAGAGTACAGGGGAAGGATCACTTCCCTGCTCCTGCTGGCCACACTGTTCTTGATCCAGGCCAGGATACCATTGGCCTTCTTGGCCACCTGGGCACACTGCTGGCTCATGTTCAGCCTCCTGTCAATCGGCACCCCCAGGTCCCTTTCTGCCTGGCTGCTCTCCAGCCACTCTGTGCCCAGCTTGTAGCGCTGCAGGGGGTTGTTGTGGCCAAAGTGCAGGACCCGGCACTTGGCCTTGTTGAACCTCATCCCATTGGAATCAGCCCAACTCTCCAGCCTATCCAGGTCCCTCTGCAGAGCCCTCCTACCTTCCAGCTGATCGACATTCCCTCCTAACTTGGTGTCGTCTGCAAATTTGCTGATGATGGACTCAATCCCCTCATCTAAATCATCGATAAAGATGTTAAACAGAACTGGGCCCAGCACTGATCCCTGAGGAACACCACTGGTGACCGGCCGCCAGCTGGATGCAGCCCCGTTCACCAGCACTCTCTGGGCCTGGCCCTCCAGCCAGTTCCTGACCCAGCACAGAGTACCCCTGTCCAAGCCATGGGCTGCCAGCTTTTCCAGGAGTATATTATGGGAGATGGTGTCAAAGGCTTTGCTGAAGTCCAGATAGACAACATCCACAGCCTTCCCCTCATCCACCACTTGGGTCACCTGATCATAAAAGGAGAACTTTTATTTTAGATAATAAAAGTAGAATCTTCTGCGGTTTTATCAGTGAAAGGGATTTGTAGGTATTAGTTTTCCTGTTGTAAGGAATATGAGTTGACCCTTTTGCCAGTCTGGTTTTCTATGTAAACAAACTTTTGTGTGTTAAGTTTAAATGTTCTGCTTGTCCACCCGCCACCATTAGCTTCTGAAGCTTGGATAAATTTCTCTGAATCTGATTCAAAGTGGATTAAATTAATGCAAGCTTCATAATAATAAGAATTTAGGTGGAGGAAAAATGAATGCTTAAATACTATGAACTATCATACGTAGTATGTACTATACTATAATACTATGTAATATAGTATATACATACTATGATGCACTGAGACACTGGGGGAATCCTTGTGGGAAAGAAAATTTGACATTGATTGAAGCAACATGTCATTTTGGCTCAAAGAAAAACAAAGCTTTCCCAGTTCTCTAGGGATGGAATTACCTTTATTACTTTTCCTTATTTTTTTTTTCCCTTGGCTTTTTAAATTAAGATCCAAGATAAAACAGAATGCTTTAGCCAGGCACAGTTGAGCACGCTCATTGTGGCTGGTCATTACTGAATTGAAGTAAGTACCTGTAAAAATGCTTTTTCTTTTTGCTTGGCTTTTCTTTCTTTTTAAACCTAAGAATTAAGGATGAGAACTCAGTGCACTGTTAAAACTGTACTAAAACTTTGTTCCACTGAAGTTTTCTCTCTGATACACTGTGTATATGGGGGTTTTGCTTGCTCTCTCCTGTGCCTCCCACTCCCACCAATTTGTCCTGGCCTTACCAGAAGTCTCCGTTAAAAGTGGCAGTAAGCACAGCTGTGATGATGCTTACATCAGAAATTTGCAGAAATTTGACCTTTCAGTTACCAACTGCTGACAGTATGTTTATTGCTGTTAAGAGAGTAATTACAAGATTTTTTTTGTTTTTACTCTTTTATGCAGAAAGTTCCATGTTATTTGTCAGTTTTAACTCAGTTATTGGAAAAAAAAACAAACCCTGTCATTTGTAAATCTCATTGATGTGCTGATAGAACCTATATTTTGTTGTATCTGAAAAACTCTTTGTGCTTTAAGGTCATTTGCACGATCATTTTTTTTCTTCCTGTAATACAATTACAGCTGTGGTAGTTAACAACATCTTCATACTAATGCATAATGTCTAAAATTGTTCAGGGGTACTAATGAAATGAACAATTTATTTTAATTTGCTTACACATTATGCTTTGTTGGAGCAACAATACTGTGCCAAGGAATGAGCAAGAAACTAGGAGAAAAGCAGATCAAAGAATCCTGGCCTAAAGAGCATAATGCTTCTACCTGCAGTTCTGAAGAAGCATCAAAAACCATTTTTAGACAAATGACTAATATATATGTCACTTATTTTTACAGGATGATATTTTCTTAATGATATAGGCAGGCATTAGAAGGAAACAATGTTGTCTAAGTGTTTCACACCAGAGTTTATTTTGTGGGACATGGTAAAACATAGTCTAGCTTTGGTCAATAGCCCTTTTTTCCCTTCCTTTCTGCTCTTCCTCCTTCAGTTAAAAAAACATTGGGATAAAAGTGATGTGACTGAAAGCATTGCTCTACAGAATTCAAGTTACGAATAGTGTTACTAAGTCAGTGGGGTCTGGGTCATCCTCAGTACAAAAGAAATAGTCTTGCTTTAGAAAAAAATGCCTAATACACTGTATAATAAAAGGATCATTGTAATGTGGTGAATGTAATGCTGGACTCTTAATGTCAGTATGACATGAGGGTGTTGGATAATCCATTATTATGTTGAGCAGTTGAGTCTGTTTTCTACTTCGCATACTAGCTCTGCCCTTTCTGAAGTCATGCCCCATCTGAAACACGCTTAAAGTAACACAAAGAGAGGGGGAAATTACTCATATCTGGACTGATGGTTGTAACCATGTTTTCACATCCAGTTACAATGCAGAATTTTTTGCTTTTCACCTTGTCCATAAAGAGGTAAGAACTTTTAAAATATGTCTCTGCACAACTGACAGTTGAGTTTTCCAAGCCTGGAGCCTAGTTTCTGGCAGCTAGTAAGGACAGGAGATAATAGGCACCTGGCTCCATTAAAACACCTTTCAGAGTTTCAGCTTTGTGGACCAACTGTGTTTAAAAAACAGGATTTCTATACGGACGCATTTGCAGTTTAACATTATTTCTGAATAGCAGAGAACAAAAAAATCAATCTGTGAATGAAGTAATACAGTGCACCTGCTCTGTAAACACCACTTCCTTGCAAAGCTGTACCATTACACTCTTATTCTTCTCCCACTTTTCCTCCTGACCTTTTGGCTGCAAGTGTCCTGTGTCTGCATGAAAAAGTCCACTGTTACTGTGCCTAATTGCCAAATCTTTCTTCCCTATTTTGAATTAAGAAAGGCTGCCAAAATGTATGCCATGTGTAATGTGGAAGTAACATAATTTGGAATTAATGAAATTATGTCACATTAACTGTGACAGTTTCATTATTTAAATAAATGTAGGAGTTCAGGAACAGCATTACTTTCTGATAAAATATCAGTTAATGCAAAAATAAAAACTGTGGTTTGTCTATACTAGTCAAACATGAGCTTCCAGTTATCTAGCCATTGCCAAAACATTTATATTTGTTCATTTACATTCCTTTTTTTTTCAAGTATTTGAAGATTTTTATGTTTAAGAGAGAAATTTAACTTTAAATTTTCAGCTATGACTGAGCTCTCTGTAACTTTGATTTTTGGTTGATTTAGTCTCCCTTCTCTTTGCAGTAAAGGGTTACCTTCAAGTTCAACATTCACTTTGGAAGACAGTGCCATCTATTTGACTTCAGAACAGAGCACACTGGAAATGGAAAATGATAATGCTTCAGTTTTGGATGTCTACTTAGTAAGTTGTCAAACAGTTTCTCCTGTAATTTATTTAACTCAGGCTCAGAAAGTGACTAAAATACCTGCTTAACTTAAAGATCCAGAGGTTCATTGAGGTATTTTTCAGATGCAACATATGCTTAAATACCCTGCCAAAGCAAATCCCTAAAGAATCTATGTGCCTATTAACCATTGTGTTAATAATGAATTATGTCCAAATGCCTTTCACTTTTTCTCTAATGGTAGGAGTTTCTGTCCTGTTATTTGTTTTCCATTTGAGGGGGGGAAAAAACCAAACCCACACCAAAATCCAAAACAACAATAACATCTTTCATCTTCATGTTTAATACTCCATGTTGAACTGATTGCATTCTTCATTTTTCTTATCTCTAGAGTTACTAATCTTTGTCTTAAGAGATCCAGAATATCTTAGAATTATGAAACAGCCCAGGTTGAAGGGACCTCAATAGATCATCTGGTTCAACCTTTCCTGGAAAAGATTATAAGATTAGCTAGTACCGCGTTGCATTCCATCTTGAAAACCTCCAGCAATGGGTACTCTACCACAGCCCTGCAGATGTTTTTCCAGTCATTAATTATTTGTCCAGAAGAAAATTTTCTTCTGTTGAGATGAAACATGTTTGGATCTGATTTTTTGTTGAGATGAAACATGTTTGTCACACTCTTTTTCTCTGTAGACTGTACCACTGATGGTTTTTTTTTCTTCTTTTTAGCCAGTAACACTTGAAAGTCTACAGTACCCACTTAGTAGCTACTAATTTAATAGTCCAGCACACTTATGAAAGTTGTTGTCTGTCCTGCCTCTATTGAAACAAGACAGTAGCAAGTACCAGTGGTAAATTATATGTAGAATTGATTAGTTAACTGTGAACTCAAGTAGCCCATTAGATCAGCCTATGCCTGTATGACTTGTGTTAATTAGGCTCATTGCTGGTCTAATGTTGACCAAAATTGTCTGTTAAGAGGGACGCAGAAATCCTGAAATGAACAAATGACTGATCACACACAACCTTGCTAGCAGATTAGGCTGACTTAAATGAACTGTGCTTTTAACTAAATAACTTGAGGGTAGGATTCAAAACTGTAACAGTAACACCTACACACTCATAAGCAACAACAAGGATGCGCAGTAGGTGTGTAGAATAGTGGGGAAAATTTCCCAACTTTACAAAGGCAAGAACCCTGAGTCCAATCACCTCAAGTACATGTATATCAGTGCATGAAGTCTGGGCAACAAAGAGGAAGAACTGCAACTCTATGCCCAGTCTGACTTATGATGTGATAGGAATCACAGAAGCTTGGTGGGAAGACTCACGTGATTGGAAGAACATAATGGATGTCTACAAACTCTTTTGCAAAGATAGGAAGAGGAGATGGAGTTGCACTTCATAAAAAAAAAAAAAAAAAAAAAAAAAAAAAAAAAAAAAAAAAAAAAAAAAAAAAAAAAAAAAAAAAAAAAAAAAAAAAAAAAAAAAAAAAAAAAAAAAAAAAAAAAAAAAAAAAAAAAAAAAAAAAAAAAAAAAAAAAAAAAAAAAAAAAAAAAAAAAAAAAAAAAAAAAAAAAAAAAAAAAGAGAAATCTGAGTGTAAGAAGGTAAGCTGTGGGACCACAAAAGGTCTATGAAATGCCTTAAGACAATATTATGTTAGGTGTATGTTACTGGCCTTCCAGCCAGGATGACAAGGCTGACAAAACCTTACTTTGTCTCTTCAAGCAACTCCTGAGCCAACAGAACCTGGTCATCCCAAGTGACTTTGATTATCCAGGGAATTTTTGGGAGAATAGTACAACAATGCACAAATTGTCCATGATGTTCTCAGAATATATGAGGGCTGCATCCTGCTACAGGTGCTGGTCATGCTGACTAGGAACAGTGTGTTGCTATATTTACTACTCACAAAATGAAAAGACATTCTTGACAACATAACTTCAAATGATTGCCTTGGACGCAGCAATCACAACATTGTGGAGTTAAAAGATCCTGCTAAGCATAGTGAATGAAGGCCAGTAGTAGGACAAAGGCCCTGGATTTTAGACATGCCACCTTCAGTATACTCAGAGCCCAGCTGAGAGGGATTTAATGAGAAGAAAGTGTGACGAGCAAAGCAATACATGAGTTCTAGAAGTTTTCAAGTAACAGTCTCAGTGCTTGTCAGATTGCACAGGGACCAGTGTATCCAGCTCTGGTCTCTACAATTCAAAAAAAGATGTGGACAGACTGAAAAGGGTACAAAGGATTGCCATGAAGAAATCAAAGATGTAGAGAACGTGCTATTTGAGGAAAGACTGAAAGAGTTAGGTCTTACTTGCTCGATAATCTCATGCATGCTCCCTTTTCTGCAAAAGATTGGACCAGATGGTCTCTTGCAGTTCCTATAGCCTGGGCTGTTCTGTAGTTCTCTTGGCCCCATTTAAACAGTGAAACCATTTCTTGTTGATAGCTTTTGAATTTAGATTATAAAACAACAATATTGTTTATCACTAACATTGCTTAGCACTGTGAAGTTTTTGGGTTTGAAGTCTGTAGTGTGGATGGTGGAATGCTCTGAAATTTCAGTGACAGACATAGGTAATACCTTCATAAAGCTGTCTGTATGAGTTTCTGGTGTGATGGTGATCTCCTTAGTAAGTTTTTGGCTTGTAAAACATTCATTACTATTATGTATGAATGTATGGGAGACTACAACATGTGTATTCCACTGATAAATTATCAACAGAAAGACAATTAAACCCCAACTCTGGATGTTATACAAATATCCAGTGTTTATTCCCCTTAGCAAAGGTCTGAAAGTATAAATAGGTCTTAAGCGGAGAGAACCATAGATGCTTTTTTTGATCTGGCAACACCTTTCTCTGCACCCTGAAAAAAAACAAAACCCAAAATTCAATAATCACGGTAACGGCACATACTTGAACTGTCTAGGTATGCAACAGCTAACAGCTTCAAGAAAATTGGATATCATGGCTAACCATATGTTATTTCTTAAGTGGCAAACTCATCTTGAGCAATTACTTACCCCTGCCTTCTGTCGCCTGTCCCACACACTGTATGGATACTATTTAACTGTTTTGAGATTGCTGTGGAAGTGAGCTGGAGTTTAATCACATGTATCCTGTATGTATCCTGAGGTGTTTGTGGAAAAAAAAAGGAATAATATGGTGTCTTGTCTACTACTATGTTACTTCCAAATGCCCCATAATAACACTTCCGTGGATCTGGAAATAACAATCAGCCTCTGTTTGCGAAACCTGATGATAATGAAGTATCATCAGTTACAAAGTGATGTGTGTTATCAGTTTGATTCAGTAGTGCTGAGCAGAAGGCAGATTTGTTTTTGTAGGAGGATGATTAAATGCATTCTAGAAGGAAAAGATGCATGTTTTCAAGAACACTAGGCCAGTCGTTGCTAATGGATGTCTCAAAAATAAAGCAAATCAATGATGTCTGCATTAGCTGATCTAAACCTCAATAGAAAAGGTTACAAGATACATCCTGACCTTTTAAAAGCATGAGGAGACAAATTTAGTTTTTAATGACATTCCCAGGTTTTTCTTTAACCCTGTAGTTAATAAGCCTTGTCTGTGTTTCTATTACAAGGCAAACTGCTGTGGTCTCACCCACTATATATTATAATGAAAAATATCTTAACTTGCTTAATTTCAGTCACCACTAATCCTTTGATGTTTTTGCCTCCTGCTTTGAAATGCTAAACTTTCTGGACAAATTTTCATCCTATAGTAAATTAAGAGCTATGAATTTCTGGTCCCGTGACTGCAAAAGAAAAAAAAAAAAAAAAGAAATTGTCATAAAATTACATAGTGTTAATTTATTATAAAAAGCAGCTTTAAAATAGCATTTTCTGAACAGTGTTGTGTGGAAATTCAGACAGTCAAGTAAGGTAGGGTGGAACTGAGGTTGTAAAAGAAAAAGTTCCTCTTATGAGTCAGAGTATTGGGTTTGGGATGTTACTGCAGACTAATACTGTACCGCTGATGTCAAAACTGGGAATTTACCTGGTAACAGCAAGAGTTTTTAGTCCAGGACACAGTTGCAGAGATATCTTGGGTACACAACTGAATGCTGGTCTGGGCCCAGAATTCCTCAGTTCTGAAAAAAGGCCAAGTTAGGCAAACCAGCATTTTGTGCATCTGCCACTCTAAGAAGCACTGTTAGGAACATCCTCAAATCCAAGTTTGACTTTGAAATACCACTGGTTTATTTTCTCATAAATTTTTTAACCAGGATAATGGCTTCATAAATCTTGCTTTTATGACTGAAATATGACTAAGCATCATCTGCAATTAGCAGCAGGTATAAGCCAATCTAAATTATTTCCAAATATTCTAGTAAAAAAGAGTGGGAAACAAAAACTGAGTAATCAGTACAAATAATTTTAATTATCAATTAAATTGTGCAGAAAGATAGAAGCAGATATATAAGATGCTTGGAAATTTTAAATGTTTCTCTGCATACCATTAAAACATTAAAGGCTTCTATGAGTATGCTTTTATGAGTATGAAATACAATGATAGATCAGATACTTTCAAACAGAAGGTGCCATCTGAGATAAACAGGTTTCCTGAAGCAAAGAGGGTAAAACTCTTCTATTTAGCACTTACAGAAATTCACAAAATAACAGATTAAAGCAGTGTTTCCTTATTCTTCTGGAAATAAACTTGGTCTCTTGATTTAACTCCCCTGAAGCCCTATTTATTGGTGTCAGTTCAGGGACTGTCAGATGATATATAAGCAGAAAAGCATTAAATATCAGCAAATGCTATTGAACACAACAGTCACAGTGTTCTATGGAATTTGATTAGGAAAAAATGTAAGTCAAATCCCGCAAGAAGTTCTTAAGAGTGATCTATGATCAGCAAGTGCAACCAATACTGATGACTTTACTCCACTGTGGAGTGCCTTAAAAATCTTAATTTCACTTAAAAAGTAAGGAATAACTTAAAATCACCTTGTTCCTTCTGTTCTGCAGTGATATCTCAAATCCTTTGATTGACTTTTATGTCCCTGAAAAAGCACCATGTCCAATTATAAACTATCCTACTGTTTTCTTAGCCTTCCCACAAAATTATTTATAAAGTTAGCTGAACATATTATTTTGTCAAACTACAATATCAGTAAACTCAGAGTAGTAAGGCTTAGGCATTTCTTTAATTTATTTACTTCAAATATGCTTGGTTTCCTTTACCCTTCCAGTAGAAAAAGGACATGCATGCAAAAAACTTTAAAGTTTTTCAACTGTGATGCTGTTCATCTTAATCATCTGGTGGTATATAAAGGATTTAAATAAATAAATATATGTTCTACCTATAGGATCTCATTAGTGAACCATTTTAAAATGGTTAAATTTAAAGAATACATCTGTATATTTAAATACAACGCAAGATTCTTGGGTAGTATAGAAATTTCCACATGGAAATACACATTGCCTTTTGTTGTTGAAGGAAAGGCTCACAAAATTTGTATCTAATTTAGAAGTCACTGCCACTGAAAATAGGGATCAATAAGGGCTTCAGAAAAATAAAATAAAGGAATAGCTCATGATAAGCAAGCCCAATGTATTTAGAGTCTGTTTAGTGTCCAATGAATTGTGTAGGTCATACTATTGCATTTAAAATTATTTAGGTAGTGGTTTGTGTCCAAATGCCAGTTTTATTACAAAATTTCAAAGTATTAAAACATTGCTAGAGATTAATTTTGTACTTTAAAGCCACTGTAGATGCAAGGTAATCAGATTTATGAATATTGGTCTACAAAATGCCTATTTAGAAACTGTCAAAATAGTCTGACTCGTCTTACTCTTCAGTACTCCTTTTCTTCCATACTCACTCCCATAGTTTCAATTAAATTCTAGTCCTGGTGTAGATTTCTTCCGGGTGCTGTTGTGGAATAATAAGTGCAGCTGAAACTAAAGCAGTTTCCAGTCAGGATGCTTGTAAAAAAAAGCTAAAAGTTGTAAAGTCACACTGTGCAGCATATCTCAAATTTTGATATGTTGCTCTTTATGGAGGCTTTAATTTCTCTGCCTCACCATTTCCTCCGAAGATACTGATGGCAAAACACAGTGGACTAAACCTGAATTCTGGGACTATGGGAAAGGAATTAAGGTGTCCTTGCTTAGAGACATTCTTATCTCTGAGCACATACTAATTTTAGAATGTTACATGCACATAATGGAACTGATGAAGCACTTTCCCCAAAACAGAATCTTGTTAAGGCTGAAGGGGGCAAACCTACTTGTTTTATGCAGTGAGGTTAATTGCTCCTTTCCTCTGTTATCTATGCATCCATGCATCATCCTGAAAAGAAAAGAGGCCTATGTCTCTCATAAAACTGAAACCTGGTGTGAAGGCAAAAAGAAAGAACACTTGAACATAGTTTGGCAGAGATGTTTTTGCAGAAGCAACATTACGTAAGAAGGGACATTTCAGTCATTCTTGCATGAAAATTAGACACAGGAATTATGTGCTTGGTTAGATTAAAAAGGTACCAATTCAGATTACAAGTAATACATTTCCTGAGTAAGTTAAGTGCTAAAATGCTAGCACGTATTTCACTGAACTACATGTTCTCATGCCTGGGGCTTTTAAAGCACCATATGAGGAAATCAATCAGCTCAAAAACATATCCATGGAAAAAGAACTGGAGCACAAAAATACTCCAATACAAAAAGACTCAAGAAGGCTCAAACACTGTAAATCCATTATATACCCAGTGTGAGACATCTGAGACAGTGATTATAGTAATGTATCCTGTAGTGTCATTTGTGCATTATTTATCATTCTAGACCAAAGTGCTATGGCCAAACTCATCTGTAATAAAAAAGTAAAAATGTTTCTTTTATCTGTAATTAAGATAACCCAAAAGATGTGCAGTGGATACAAAGTTGCTTAGAGAATCATGTTGTGCCCCTTGAAATAGATGGAGTGTTTTCCAAAGTAATACATACAGTACTGGACCGTGCCTGTTCATAAATATGAACATCTGAAAATCCCATCTCACTAAAATGGCATCAGTATTCCTGTGACTGACTCACAGTAGCAGTTGCTACAAGCTGCTGTTAGGTCTCTTTTCTCCAACTCTATTATGCAAATTTTATTGGAATTTTTTCCATCATGAAATGCTTTGTAAGGATCAGAGGAAAGAGAGCAAGAACAAGCATAAGCTGTCCATAATTCCATTGAATAATTAGTGCAATAGCATACAGCCAACATCAGCAACACTGCTTGTCTCCTTAGAGAAAAGCAGTAATAAGTCCAGAAGGTCAGAAGTTGTGCTGAGTGACCATGTGTCAGAAGCAGACCTGCAGTCATTCAGATCTGAGCTTTCAGACAAACTAGATAGTGCTAGTAAAAATTTTGATTAATTTGTCTTGGCTTCATACAACATTATTTTGTTTATCAGTACTAGCATTTTTCAACTTTTTTTGCCAAACTGATTCTTGGGAAAAAAAAAAAAAAAATCTGTGTTGACCTTACATCATATTGATTTTAGAGATTTTTTTTTTTTTTAATTTTACTCACTTGTCCAACAGTTTCTATTTGCAGATTAAATTGTTTGCATCCTGTAAGTACTTTACTCCCTTAGCACATTCAGGTGCTAATACAGCAGTGGATAGACTTAAATTGCAAAACCACAGTTACACAGAGAGAGCGAACAGCCCCTGAGAAATAAGCACTGTGCTCACTAGCATCAGTGATTATGAACACACTAACACTGGTGCATAATACAGTAGGAAGTTTAAATGTTGCCATAAAACAATATTGAAATATCATTTCCTAAAGTTCAAGGGCTAGCGCTAGAAGTCATAACTAAAATATTGATTTAAATCTAGTAGTTAGTTATCTTTCTCTAAGAGAAGCTTTATAAATGCCTTTAGATATTTTTAGCTCATAATTAACACTAGACTGTTGTCAAACTATTTAAAGGATAGTTAGGTGCTTGTATTGACAAGCACAATATAAAGGTGACCTTCAAAATCTATTGAATAAATGGAATTTACACCTTTGTTATGTATTTAAAGGTTTTAGAGTAAGGTCACTACTACACTTCTTTGTTTTCATTTTGTTTCTTGCTCCATATTGGATATATTAGCTGAGATGCTTTCAGTGTACTGAAATGTTTTGTTCAGCTGTCAGTTTCTCTTCAGGACCTCTCTGACTCTAAAGAGATGCTAAGAAGTTATTAACAATTTGTATTACATAACTGTTGGTTCTGTAAAAGGTACTATGGAAAACTCTAATCCATTAACATTATTAAGTAATTTTTTTTTTTTTTTTTTGTGAAATTGATTGCTAAAACATTGACTAGAACATAAGTTGTGCCTGAAAGTTTTTGGGCAGGTATGACTTTTCAGCTGGTGAAGGGTATCATGCAGAAGCTAACAGGACTTTTATTCATGACCATGAAGACTGACACTTTTGCACTAACAATAAAGGTCACAGTCGATTCCACATTAAAAAGAAGCTGCTGTGAGTTGCTGAGCTGCTGTGAGTTACTGTCTTCTCTGATGTCCATAGTGTTCAGCATTTTGCAGCAGCAAGTAGTTCTAGTTCAGGTAATATAAGTGTACTGCAATGTCTACAAGCCCATAGGGGTTATCTGTTGTGCCAGAAAAGAGGCTCCAGTGCTTCTGATTAGGGGTCAAGGTAAGAAAAGAACCACTTCCAAATTGTGCTGCAGCCTATTTAGGGGAAGAAAGATGTTTCCTGTTTATAATTCTGTAAGAAAACAAATAAACACAACTCTTGACTTTACTTGTCATTTCTGTATTTCTAGTAACAAAGAATATGCGAAGAGTAAAAGTAAAAGAAGTGGCCATGGTGAATGAAGAGCACTTTCTGCACTCCTCATTTAAGAAGGAGAAACTTGCTAAGCCTAATAGACAAAGAATAATAATCAACTGAATTTATTGTAAGAAGCGTCAGGATCTTTGAACCACAGAAAGGATTGATGGACTTGGCAAAAATGACATGATACATTCCACACTCTGCTGTCATCTGCTGTTGCTTGCTGAACTGTGAAGAACTGTGTATTCAGGCTGCTTTCTAGTATATTGCCAATCACCTTTTTTGGACTTGGAAGTAGTATTTTCTTATCAGATCTCTAGTGGTTTCATTTGCATGCATTCTGTAACTATGCACAAGCAAAATCCATTATCTGCTTTACCTATTTAAAAATAAGCACAATTATGAATAAAATTAATTTCATTTGTTTTGACCCCTCAGTTCTAATCTCTTAAGTCCACATCAGTGGAAATTGGAACTGACATCACAAGAGTTAGGGTAAACCTCTGAACATACTATATGAAAATGAGCCTCTAAATATACTTTTGCTGTTCATAAAAGAGAGAAAAAATTGTTATTTATAACAATGTTGTGTAAATATGTTGCCTTTGAAATATTTTTGATTTTGGTTTATTTCTTGTAAAAGAGAAAATCTATAATTTATTTAGTAAATACTACTGTAAACTATAGTTTTATTGATGAATAAAATATTTTGTTCTAAAGACTATCACAGCTGTCAACCTGTTCTTGATCTATACTGGACTTCTGGCATTTCTCTGTCTTTGTAAGATGGTTTTGAGAGGCATCTTGAGCTATGACTAACAGGGCATCTGTTTTTATCTATTACCAGTTCTATAATAAAAAGGGGAATGTTGAAATTAGAGCAGAAAAGGCAAAGGAAAACATACTCAAGAGGCATTGCTTTATAAAAGCATTTTGGGTTTTTCAGGTTTTTGGTTGGTGGTTTGGTGTTTTTTTTTTTTTTTGGGCAATCATTTTAAGATAACTAGAGAAACCTTTTCAGTTCTTTAATTTTCTAAGCAGCAGAGAAAATCCCAAACAGCAGTGACTAACACCAGATTTCATGCTTGGATGCAGTGATGCATTTAAAATTTACACAGGTTTCATGTGGAAAGCTTACCAAAGTTAATGGTAATAACATTTCTTCTAGGAGTAAGCGTTGCAAATCTGTTGAAAACCCAGAATTTGGCATTGTAAGTCTTAGAACTATGCTGTGTACCTCTGAAGAATTTTTCATTTAAATATTTGATGTAGTGACGGGTTTTGTTTTGGTTTGGGGGAGGGTTGTTTTGGTTTGTTTTACTTTGATGTAATCCTAAAATCCTGACAAGTAAGAATGTATTATTCCTTAAGTACACATAGAATAGAGAAATCGAAAGATTGGGTTTTTTCTTTCTAAGTGTGCAGTCTATGGCTTAACTTAGAGCCTCTGCCTCATGGTTACCACTTTTCCAGACTTAAAAATTATACTGCTCAATGTCAACAAGATAATTTTTGTGCAGCATTCCTCTGAGAAATGCAAGACTAATCTGCATGCCCTGTGAGCAAAAACATTTTGTACATCTGTATCAAGTGTCTGCTCCTTCATGCACAGTGTACAGGATATTAAGAATGTGTCTCTGTGCAAAGCAGATACTTGTGATTAGTCCTATTTTGGGAAAAACGTTAAATTTATTAGTATAAGAATCAGATTAACCTTCATAAAGAACACACATGTCACTTTTTCCCCAGTTACCTTGCAGACTTTAGTGTCTGAATCCTTTGTCCTTAGGAAGACATCAGAGGACACACAACTGCAACAATTCTGTCCAAAACCAGAAGTCTATATAACGATTGAGAGATTGAGACATCCTTTGTGTACAGTCCCTTTAACGCGTAATTTATAAATTAAGACAGTCATTTAACACTAGAAAAAGGAAATACTACATAGACTATGGAGCCTACTCGTAAAACCCTCTCCAAAGCACGTGCACTTAAAACTCCTGCGTGTGTGTGTGTGACTACACAGTTTCACTGAGAAGGAATAGAGATTACAGCTAAGCAATGTTAAGCAAATTAATGATCAACAATTTAGAATCCAGTTCTTTCTCTAGCACATGAAATGATACAAAGTTTCAAACATCAAAGGGTACAGGAGCTTATAGGGATGCACAAGTTTCATGTTTAAGGATGTTGGTTCTCTTCATCTTGCACTGGTGTTTTGCATTGGTAGCACTTGATGAAAAAGACTTTTAAACTATAAAGCTGATGAAGCAGGACATGTCAAGTAAAAATAAAACATATACAAAAGGCATAATCAACTCCCTGGGGTATTAAAGTAATATATTGGTCTATTTCTCCAGGTCTAAACAGATGGAATTCACCACAGGGAGCAAAGAAGAATTAGGTCACAGACATGGGCGATCTGTGGGCAGTGATGTCTAGCCCTGCAAGCTGCCCAGAATGAAAAACCACAGGTTGATGCCTGCTTAGAGAAAGGTAGGGAATAATTCCAAATTTGAGTATCTGCCTCTGTGACTTAATCATATGGCATTGAGAGATCAAGTTTTTCTTTGGTGGTAGCATATAATAGTTGTCTTCAGTTAAAAACAAACCAAACCAAACCAACAAACCAGCCCACCATGCAAAACAAACAAACAAACAAACAACAACAAACAAACAACAAAAAACCAAAACAAACAAAAACAACAACAACAAAAAACAACTTCATGTCCTTGTACTAGAATTCAGTGGTTTGGAAAAAAAACTATCCCCCCCAAAAAACTATCTTGTTGACTCAGCTTATACTTCAGGCAATTTAATTTCATATAACTCAATTGTATTTTCCCCAATTAGACAGTGACAAAAGAGTAATCAGAACTCTACCTGTTCTTCATAGAAGCCATTTTTTGACCCATTTCCAGTGGTGCATGCATTTACTTGAAATACAGACAATATGAGCTCTTCCCAGACTGAATGTGTAGGACCTAACCCCACAGCACTTTTGTATCTGGAACTACTTCACAGGTATTTTACACCAGTCTAAAAAGATATTGATACCAATACTGTGGTATGAACAACATTAACCCAGGGTGCGACAGGGATCAAGATGAAAAACATTAAATTGCTAATGTTTTAAAAGCATTTTAAAAAGCATTAAAATTGCTAATCCCTAACTTGCTCCCTTTTGAAGTTTTGTTACTGATGCTTGCTTGATAGCAGTATCCTGTGAAGTTCATTAACTTGAACTTTACATTTGAATAGTTGTTAACTTTTTAAAATATTTGGGAAGTGAAACTGCTTATACCAGAGAAAATATTTAATCCTCACTAATTCATTGATTTCTCATTAACTTAGAAACAGAAGATAAACATTTCCTATTGAGAGTTGTGTATGACCTTGGATGACTAGAAAAAATCAACATGGAGCTACTTGGATAATATTAAAAAATGCCTGAGACTCTTTATATAGGAATGGCAAGGTATGTAAATAAGCACCATCTTTAAATGGATTAAATGCTACATAAAAGATTCCTCCATTCTTCCAGCTGCTTTCCCTCTCCCTACCAAGGTATGAAAATATCAGTCGTTTGCTTTACTAACATATTTTGTTGTCTGATACAAGTCACTTGTCCCTACAGGCCTTATCTCAGTATGTAAATCAGTATAGCTGCAGAAACATAAGTAGTTTTTTCCAGCAGGGATAAGAATGGGTTGGTCTTCAAGGAACTAGAGAGTATCTTGTACCTGCTTGACTTCTGCAAGGTCTGAGTTAAGATACTGGTAATAAACACACAGGACTCTGTAGAAAAGAGACAAGAGGCTGCCTAACCTAGATAACACTTTGGTACAGAGAACTTTTAGGTACAACAGACCTCATAATCTCAGTTGAAATTTGCACAAGTGACTTGACTTGTTTGAACCTTTGCCCCATGTGTGATATAAAATAATCCTGGCTTATAGAAAAAATATTATAAAGTTATAAATCCTGGTGAGAAACTCAAGAACTTATTCCCTAATGCATTGCAAGATCACAGAATAGTTTGGGTTGGAAGGGACCTTTGAAGACCACCTAGTCCAACCCCCCTGCCATGAGCAGGGACACCTTCAACTAGATCAGGTGGCTCAGAGCTCACAGCTGCTTACTTTAATGAAGAGTTTTAAAAATATAACAATGCATCACAGACTAACCAGTGGTAAGCTTCTGAAAACTTGTATGCTTTATATACTTATGATCTTACTTGCAATGGCTGCATCTTTCAGTTCTGTCCCGTGGAAGGCTCTGAAGTGAAATTTGTCTGTGTTCCCGCAGAATCTGTGTGTTTTTTTAAAGAAACTCTTGGATATGAATTATTTCTTACCTCTCATCCTCTCGATAAACCTGTTTTATTTTTTCAGTTTAAGGAACAATAAGAGATGTCTGGCTGATTCACTCTACATCTTCACATATCATTAATAGTATGGTATCACCAGCATTTAAGTAACTCAGTGGGAAATGTCATGTGTGATAAATTATGTGATTTATTTTCCCTTTACTGGCCATAGTGGGTTTCTGTGGCTAGATTTTTTTTTTGGGGGGGTAGGGGCAGGCTACAGGGGTGGCTCCTGTTAGAAGCTGCTAGAAGCTTCCCCTGTCCAGTGGATCCAATGCCAGCCGGCTCCAGGATGGACTTCCTGCCGCTGGCCAAGGCCGAGCCAATCAGGAGCAATAGTAACACCTCTGTGATAACATATTTAAGAACAGAAAGGTATTGCACAGAAAGAATTCCAGTCAGGAAAGAGTGGAGTGAGAACATAGGAACAATAAAGTAGACACCAAGGTCAGTGCAGGAGGGGCAGGAGGTGCTTCTGGTACTGGAGCTGTGCCCCTGCAGCCCGCGGTGCAGACCATGGTGGGGCAGCTGTGCCCCTGCAGCCCATGGGGGACCATTGGGGTGCAGAGACCCCCCTGCAGCCCATGGAGGAGCCCATGCTGGAGCAGGTGGAGGCTGTGACCCAATGCAAGGCCCACGATGGAGCAAGGTCCTGCCGGGGAAATGCAGCCCCTGGAGAAAGGAGCCCATGCTGGAGCATGCTTTTTTCAGGTAGGACTTATGGGGGACCCACATTGGCACAGCTCATCCATGAAGGACTGCACCCTATGGAGAAGTGACCCATGGGACATCAGTTTCGTGAAGAACCTTTGCCTGTGGGACGGATTCACGCCAGAGAGGTCCGGGAAGGACTATCTCCCGTAAGAGGGACCCCATGGGGGCAGGGGAAGGACTGCTCTCCCTGAGTAGGGCAGAAACAGCAACTGATGGGAACCCCCATTTCCTGTCCCCCTACACCACTGGGGAGGAGGATGGAGAACATGGAAGGAAGGAGGGGTGGGGGGGAAGGTGTTTTTAAGATTATTTTTACTTCTCACTCTTTTGCTCTGACTCTGTTAGTAATAAATTCAAATAATATCCCCAATTTGAGTCTGTTTTGCCCGGGATGGTGATTGATAAGTGACCTCTCCCAGCTCTTAACTCATGAATCCTTTACTGATGTGTTTTTTTTTTTCTCTCCTCTGTCCGGTTGCAGAGGGGAGAGAGCGGTTGTAGTGAGTACCTGAAGTCCAGTCAGGGTCAGCCCACTACACTGGCTCAGGGTAACATTTTACCTACAGGATGTAAATGATCAGAATACTTCCTGGAACTCGTACTGGAACAGGTCCCTTAGTGAGTGCCTGGTGGGTAGTGTGGTTTCTAATTGTTGTTCTTCCCAGGCTCCATCTCTTTGTACACCTATCCAGCACGACCGCTCTGCCAGAGCAAGCGCCAGCAGAAACTCGCCCACGAGCGATTATTCCCTGCTGAGAGAACAGCAGCCCAGGTGAAGGGGTACAGCAGATGCAGTAGTGTTAACAAGTGACCGTCGCAGCTCCTTTTGTCTGTGACATAAGGTCACAGATTCGGGATCCCTGAGTCCTCCTAAGCACGCAAAGAGGTCTGCTCAGCACACCAGGGCCCAGCACCTGTTTCCCAGGGACAGGCTTGCCGCGCCGTGTCAGTGCCGAGGGAAGGGCACCAGAGACGGGCGGGCGGCGAAAGCGCCGCCGCCTGCGAAAGGGCCGCGCTCGGCCGTGTTGTCTCGGTAGCACAACACTTGGACGTAATTAATCCTGGCGATACTGAGGCCAGAGCCAGCAGGGACTACGAAAAAAAAAAAAAAAAAAAAAAAAAAAAAAAAAAAAGAGAGAGAGAGAATCCCAGGCATTCCGCTTTTCCCTTTCCCACACGGCAGTGCAGCCCCTGCCGTGCCCGTTCCCGCGCTGCCCCGCGCGCCGCAGGGGGGCGCAGTGCCCGCGCGCCCCGCCCCGCCCCGCCCCGCCCCGCCCCGGCCGCTTCCGCAGCGTTCCCGGCGCCATGTGGCGGGCGGGGGCAGTGGGTGCGCTGCGCGCCGCGGGCCGGGCGGCGGCGGCGCGGGGGAGCGGCGGACCCGGGGAGGCCCCCAGGGCAGGCACGGCCCCCGCCGGCCGCGGCCGCACGGTGAGATAGAGGCGGGCGGGCGGCCGGCGGGGCCGAGGCGCGGCCTGCGGGGCGGGGCCGAGGCTTCGGCCGCGGCCGAGCGCCGCTGGGGCGGGGGACGGGGAGCGAAGGGAGCCTGGCGGCAGTTCGCGGGCCGGCCGCTGGCTCCGAGCAGGTTGGTGTGCGCCCGTGGCCGCGCCGGACCGCCCGCGGCCGCCCAGCAGGGCGGCGCGTCCTCCCTCCCTCTCTCCTTTTCTCCTTCCCTGTGCCTTTGTCGTGCCGTCCTTTCCCCAGGAGCTGTCACAGCCCGGGAGCTGTTTCACAGCCGCGCAGTCCGCCCCGAGCGGCGCGGGGGTGCGCGGGGGGCCGTGCCGGTACAGGCGGCAGCGCGGCTGGCAGCGCCCGGCCACCACCCGGGTGGGAGCACACGCACCGATGGAGGCAGAGCCTGTCAGCCGGAACAGAACCTGAACGCATTCCTGGGCTCGTAGCTTTTGATTTTAAGTGTATGTTAAAGAATGCCGAAGGGTAAAGTCAGAGACACGTAGGCACCGTCGTGTATTTTGTCGACCTGTAGCTTCGTGACGCTGTTCTCCGTCCTTTCTGTCCGTGTCGTGGTTTTGGATAACAGTTCATCTGTAATGACTGCGGATAGATGTCAAACTCCATGGAGAGAGATGGGTCTGTGTTTTGCTCTCCGTGCCTGAAGAGGGGCTGTCATAGTTCCTTCTCAAATGTCACTTGCTTTCCAGTTCAGTCTGTTTTCAGAACCTTGCACAAGTACACAAAAAGCAATCAAGAACGCTCTTTTAGCATTTATCCAAATGGTTGGCTCTGGTTAGGAAGAAAATGGCAAGCATGCTATCTTTCTTGGTGGATAGCTTAAGTGCTTCTGACGGTATGTCTAGTCTGGGGATCAGCTTTATCCATGTCTTGCACCCCGATTTTGCTCTCATGTCTGATATTGCCAACTTTTGATACAGCTTTTCCATAACTGTTATTTGGTTTTTAAAGCACTTCCCCCCCCCCCCATACTAAGAGAAATTAGAAGTTAAACTGCTTATTTTATAGAGAGCTCTGAAATGTGAAGTGGTTTTGGCTCTTTTGTATATAAAGATGCAGTGTCTCTATTTATATCAGTTTAATATGTTCATAGCTTCCAACAGAGGGGCACAAGTTGTTGATAGTGCAGTGTTTGAGTGGTGGATACTTGTGAAAATCTGGGCCTAAGCCAGTCGTGTGAAGTTATTCAGTATTTCTGTGGTAGACCAATACAAAAGAAAGCAGTTTTCTTTCCTAGTGTGTCAAAGGATGTGTAGTTTTTTTCATTAGGTTGTATGAGGACGACAAGGATGTCCTAAATTGCTTCAGTCACCCAAGGAGTAAAGCTGCATAATTCTTTCCATATTAGCTCTATGATAAAGAATATGAACATTTTACTTGAGAATGGAATAGACTTCAAGGACCTATTTAATTTGTATGATAAATACATAATTTGTAATTCTTCATGTTTTAACTTCTGATTGGATTTTACTTTTGCTTACTTTCAACAGCAATTACAGTATTCTTCAGATGTGAAGAGCAGGACTGTTCAGTTCATGAATTTGAGAAATGCAGGAACTCTGAATGACACAAGGTAAAATGTATTTTGAGATACTCATATGAAAATATCAGTTATGTATTTTAAAATTACTTATATACATGTAAGACTACCAGGCTAATGCTGATGCGATTTAAAGGACAACTTCAGTTTTATCTAAAAGCATTTTGTGTGAATTTGGGAAGTCACTTAGGAAATAATTCATGTACCTAAACATAGGTGTCCAGCACAGTTTCGCATTTGTCAGGGGGTATGAAAATTCTTCTAATGCTGAGAGGGTGTGACACAGCATCTGTCGGAGGCTTCTCCCCTTCTGATGCGGCAGCTGGAGACACAATGAAGGATTGTGTGGGTGTCTGAAATGGCTCTTGCCATTAAGTGCCTGAACTGCATCTTGAACTAGTACATGAATCCTGCCTCATCCTAAGGCTTTCTGTTCTCCATGCCCCAAGGTGTTTTTGTGGTGTCTCTCGTGTAAGTGGCATAGAATGTGTTTCAGTAACTGGCTCACAAGACACTTTTTAAAAAAAAAGATGTTCTGTATTATCAACTGATATATATTAGATACTGAGTCCATGTAACCGTTGTATTGCCATACCCATTAGCAAGAGCTGAGATTATTTTACTGAATTGTCTGTTGTTAGAGATACCCACCGACACAGTCATTTAAAAGCTGACACTAATACAAATGGAAAAACTTACATGATTTAATTACACTTGGTTAATTAAACTGATTTAGACTTTGTTCCACTAAAGAGGATGACAGAAGCAGTCTCACAGGTGCTGTAAACCTTACATAATGGCTACAAGGATGTTTTGACACTCCCTGGAGAAGACTTAAATTGTATGTATTAGTTCATAAGCACACTTTAAATAGCATCTAATTACCAGGCTGCATTGGTAATTCCAGTTGAGAAGGCATATGCTGTACGTAAACGTGGCATGTGATACTGATTTTTATTAACTGCTTATAGGTTCAGCAAGTTTTGCAGAGCCAGATGAGATAGTTCTAATCAGGAGATGGTTTTGTCTCTACTGGTAGAGTTCAAAACTAAGTAATCTGTGCACAAGTCCATTTATGAAAGTGCCTTTCTTGGAAATCTGTCTCTCCTTATTAAAACAGGAGTTACTATATCTAAAGAAAGAAGTAGATTTTCCTCAGTTAAGAGGGAAAAAATTCAAAATTCCACCACTATTTATAAGGTGGATTGTTATCTACATCACCTTAAGAAAAATTACTCCTTGTTTGGTACGGTCATTTCATGGTTACTGTTTCATCCAAGGTCATGGTCTTGGTGTGTTTTTATTAAAGGAAAAATGGTGTCTTCCATGCTTTTCCTTCTAATTATGGGCTTCTATGTGATTTTTAGCTCTTTAGATGAGACCACTTATGAAAAACTGGCTGAAGAAACATTGGACTCCCTAGCAGATTTCTTTGAGGACCTGACAGATAAGCCTTTTACCCCAGAAGATTATGATGTCTCTTTAGGGGTATGTTTTGAACATTATATTGCCACTGTAATTGTTGTAAGTTGTGGGTTTTTGTTTGTTTGGTTTTTTTATTAGAAGGAGAATTTTAGATTAGTCACCTTAGTGCTGACACCTGAAATACAATTAGTTTTTACAGCTCTTTATACTGACTGGGGCAAGAATTCCAGTGAAAAGCAACACATACTGTTGTATGATTTGTAGATTTAAAATATTTCATATATAGAGAAAGGCATAATATGGAATAATAAATGAACACAAGAGGAAGTGGAAACTGGTTTCTAATTTCTCCGTAGTCTATAGTTTTTTCTAAACAGGCATAGACATCTGACATAGCAATCAGCTCCCTTCTGGCAAATATTAGGACAAGCCTACATGGCATAGTACATTTACAAAATGTGTAACTGTTAGAGCAGTTTCTTTGTTTGCCCTGAATACTGAGAAGCAGCATTTGTGTTGACCAAATAGAATATGTTTGTCCTGGCTTTACTGATGACAGCCTGTGGTGGAGAGAAGCAACAAGATATTCCACTGTTGGGGTAAGCAGCTGCAGAAGAGAGACCAGAGCATACATGGGGAAGAGGTTGCTGTGGAGCCTTCAGTGGGTCAGCCACCCAAATTCTTTTACAGGAATGATGGATTCAGATTAGAAATGTCCATTTTATTTGTGTAGGGAATTTTTTAGTTTTTATATAAGTTCAGTTCCGGAAGTGTTTTATGTTTGTGTGTTACAGCCCTCAACATGACTTGGAGAAGTGTAACACACATCTTTCACTACTACATTTTTTGAGTTCACATTACTACTGCTCCTTCTCTCTGTCTTACCACAAGGAGATGGCTTTCTACTGGCCCTATCAGTTAAAGTTTTATGCTCAAGGTTGTTGAAGCAGATGGTTTGGATTGCACTATGCAAAATAGGGAACCAAGACTGTAATTTTGGACTTGCTCCCATGTAGCTTTGTCATCATAATGTTCTTTTTTGTTTTTGATAACTAGGATATAAAATAACGTTGTCAGTAGCATTCTGTTTAGCAAATGCTGTTTGTTGCTTTAAGTATGTAGCTAATGTTACAGCTAATTCCTTTTCTGGTAAAAAGTGTTATTTAAGCTTTACTCTTCAGTATATTTTAGGTTATCAGCACCTATTAGCATAATGTAAAGATCTTAGGACAAAAATTAGCAAAAAGATAAAAATTTACCCCTTTAATAGACACTTTATTACATGAAGGTGATGAGTCATTTTATGTAATAATTTTTTTCTCCATCCACTGTGTTGTGGATTTTTTTTGACATTGATTCATTGTGAGGCTCAAAAAGTAATATTTTTACATGGTAATTTTTACCAGTGGTCCTTTGTTGGATAGACTGTATGATGACAATCAGTAAGTAGTGTGTTGTTGTTTCTGTTAAGAGCAGGAGTTTAAATGGTCCCAGTTTGTAATTCCAAACAAACAAGATTATTGCTACAGGAAGCCACAAGGTGGCGAACGTGATAAAGATCTGTTGTGCCTGTCCATTATGGTGAACTTGATTTCTTTGCGTCCAGGGGAAAAAAATCTCTTTCGGAGAATATTCTTAGTTACCAGGAACTAGCAAACATTCATCCAGTAATACAAAACACGTAGAGCAATATTTCTTAACATATGGTAAAATTATCTTGCAATTTAAGTTCTTAAAATCTCAAGTTGTATTTTCTAGTGTTTCAGAAGTATTGCAAAATGTATGGGAAATGTTTTCAACGTAGCAGTAGAAGTTAACCTTTGTTTACTTTGCAACGATAGAGCAACAGTACTCTCTAACAGCTGACACACAATGTAGTCAATAGTATAAATTTTTGTTAACTGTTTGGAAACCTATTTACTGTAGTGTTTCTGTAGCATAAAGGATAATATCATGCTGAATACTTAATATGGCACTAAAGAACACATAGAAGAATAGTGAAACCTGTATATTTCTACTCAGGCTTAATCCCCTATCCTGATTTTATTGTGCCATATCTCTACAACTCTGAGACCACTGAGACATGGAAAAGTTTAAATTCTGACAGCCAGAGGAATAGCTTGTTTGTGTCCTTCTCTGCAATATACCAATATTCAACAAATAAACTGGAAGGACAACCTGATGGCAGTATTAGGCCTTTTATTTTTATTGTGCTAATCACAGCCATAAATTGCTTAAAAAGCACAGAAGCAGCATGGACCCTGGTGTTCTCAGATACAGAGAGTATTGTTTTGTGGCTGGTTATCCTTGAGATGTTAGAAATCAGTAACATTGAGTTACTCTGTGGGAGAAGGAAGCTTTGAGCTGCTGCCTGTACTACAGAGTAGCAGGCAGTAGATACTCTTACATGAAAATATTTTTTCCCCCATAGTAAGTACTTATACATAGCAAATAGCAGTGACTGTAGCTCTAGCAGTATCTTTTGACTAAACCATGAAAACTATGATTCCCTTAAAGAAGCTTTATCGTGCTACAGGGCCTGAAGTACTTGAGGCAAATTCAATTTTAAATTAAAAAAAAATTAAATTAAATATTAAATATTAAATTAATATTATCTGAACATCACACTCCATTCTGTAGAAGTGTTTCCCTTTTTAATTAGCATAATTCAGATCATCTGTAAATTAACTCTAGTCCAAGTAGTGTTGTTTTTTTACTTTTAAAGTTGGAACAGAAAATATTTTTCTCAGTTAGGAGAAATGTGAATCATGTTGATAGTAAGAAATATGAGCAAGGAAGAGAAAAGAAATGCTCACTAGGATAATGGTCTAAAGGTGGCATAACTAAAACAAAACCAGAAGACCTCATGGAGTTTAGAACTGTAACATTTTTGAGGTATGAATCAGAATTCCTGAGAAAAAAAATCTGTTTATTCCCTGGGAAACTGTTACAGTTACTTAAGAAAAGTAAGATAAAATTACATGGCTCAGAAATCGTGCAATGACACATAAAGCTTCCTGACTTGTAACCACACCAATTCTGCATTGTTCATTAATAGAAAAAAGTTGTTATTGGATGATGTTTTAATTGTTGCAAAATGAACTAATGGTCCTTTCCAGATGCCACGTCAAAGCCCAGGAGTGTTATTTAAGTAATGCCATTGTGAATGGTACAAATGCACTAAAATCAAAGATATGCAGGTTGTGCTAGGTATTAAGACAAGTTTTGAATACCTAATGATCATTCTTCCAAGCTATTACTGTTTGGGAAATAGTTGAGAATGTGATACAGATATGTTAAATTTCTGCCACTACAGATGAAGTTATTGTTCTCAAATTAACAGAATGCAAATGTTTTCTTTCTCACTTTTCTTTGTCTTTTAAGAGTGGAGTACTAACAGTTAAATTAGGTGGTGACCTGGGAACGTATGTAATCAATAAGCAAACACCAAACCGTCAGATTTGGCTGTCCTCACCCACTAGGTAAGTTATGTGCTAGTTATGAATGTAATGTCTGCAGAATGGGTGGAAATGCACTTCCTCTTTTTTATAGCATGGCATGGATCATGTCATATCCTTTTCATGAGTAACCCTTTAGCTCTGTATATTCTCAAAACATGATATAATCTAGGTGTTCAATTTGCTGTAGAGGTCTGGGGTGCACTAGAGGTCTGGGGTGCACTGCAGTACTCTGACATACCCGAATTAATACAGGAAGTGTGTAATACAGAATTTTGATAAACTGTTCAGTCCTGAACCACTGTCTACAGGAATATAGCCTACTTATAGAAAAAATACACAGCAATGATTAAAAAAAACCCGAACAAACAAAGCTTCTGTTGGAAAAAGGCTGATGATGATGTTATGATCTAAACCTCTCTTTGTATTTAAAAAGGGTGGCTCCTTCCCTTTTAAGCTTGAGGGATTTCCTGCTTTATATGTTTGTGCTCACACTGTTTGTTTTTGTCAAGCATCTGCACTTCAAGGGAGCCTTAGCTAGCTGTTTCCTCTGCCTTCTTTAGTGCTGTGCTTTGGTCTGTAGCAGGTTTTCTGATTGGTTTTAGCATGGAGGGCAACCAGATAAGGGAGAAAATGTTGTAGCTCTGTCCCCCACCAAGTTTTTATTCTTTGCCACTATCCCTGGAAAAGAACTGAGGGAGTTGGTGTTACTGGTGAAGGAAGTAGTTTATAAGACTTTTGTGTCACTAACATGAAGGTTTCAGTATTCATGAAAACTGAAATTCAGATAATTTCTGTCTGTTTGGAGCCAGCTCTAGCTGAGCTAAGACTTATGTGCTCCATACTTATGAAGTTTGGGAAAAAATGTAAAATTTTTCCCTTTTTTTTTTTTGTTGGGTTTTTTTGGGGGGGAATTTTCATTGTGTGTGTGTATGGCTTTGTTTGTTTTGGTTGCTCCAGTAGTGAATGGAAATACACAGGAGACCTACTTGAAAAGTATCTATTGGTATTTTTCACCATGAGGAAAAATTATTCATCTACAAATATTAAGTTTTGTACTCTGTTACTTGATATTATGGTAAACAGTGGTATTTCCTGAAATATGATGCTATATGTTCACTTACTTCCTAACTTCTGAAAGGCAACTCCAGCAAATATTATATGATCTGGAACTGACATCTTCCTAGCTGCAATATGCTGGGAAGTGAAAGAAATGTTGCTGTCAGTAATCACTTGCTTGGAAGGTTTTGGGGCATTTGTACAGTAAATGTTGATCTTGAGTCTTTAAGAACGTATCCCAAAGGAGACAAATTCTTAAGGTGTGTAAGAGATGTTTTCTTGGAAATTTTTAACCTTCTGCTTGGTATTGTGCATCTATACATCAAAGTGAAAACCTCACTTACTTGACAATTACAAATAATGGCCATGAGGGGTTGTGTGCAACCTGCCAGCAGTGTGATTGCAGTAATTTCTTGTAGCTCCTTTGGCTGAAAAGACTTTTCAAACTTACATTTCAAACTTAAGTATCACCTTAATGTGATATTTTAATTCTTCTCTCTTACTGTTTAAAAGCATATTCAGACTTTCCATAAGAAATACATTTAGTCTGTATTTACTTAGTAGGCATTTTATAGAATTCACAGGATCTTTGCTTAAATTCTTAATTTTAAATTTAAAAGTCACATTTGTACAGCATTTTGGAGGTTCAGAGAACTATGGAGTTGTTTCATATGCAACAGTATCACTGATATTTACTGCATAACATTTAAAAACAGTTCAGATAATGTACATATTTCTTTGTTATTGATTAAATGGTCTGTCTTAGCCTGAGTTTCATGGATGACAGGATCCCATTCTGTCATTCTCTAGGTGCAGGACAGTATAAACATGTGCTTGTACCACAAAGGCTAAGAAATGAGAAATACACAGTGCCAAAAGCAAGAAGGGAGAGAGCTCATCTCCACTGGAAGTGACTGATGTATCCTGTCACCTTTCGGATATATCTGTTTCATGGCTCAGTAGTTTCTGACATACCTGGCCTTTTCTGCTTCACTTCCTCACACTGTCCACCAGTCATTCCCAATACTGTCTGTTCCTTTTCCTGGGTACTCTCTGGCATACATTTTAAATACAGACTTCCAGCAGGTCTTCTTGAATAATCTGTATTTACACAGGGTGTGATGTTTTTGTTTGTTGTTTGTTTGTTTGTTTGTTTTTTCTAGTGGGCCCAAGCGCTATGACTGGACTGGACGGAATTGGGTGTATTCTCATGACAGAGTATCCCTTCATGAACTACTATCAAAAGAATTTTCAACTGCGTTAAAAACTAAATTGGATTTATCCTGCTTAATATATTCTGGGAAAGAAGATACTTGACATTCTACCTCATGGAATTTTAAAGACTTTAACCTCAAGCAAAGCCCTTTCTTGGTTTCTGAATTACCTGAGCTTAATTTTGTTGGGCTTTTTGGCATCAATATGTTGTGCAACAAAATTGAAAATAATATATTTTTCCTCTAGTGTTCACTCTTTTGGTTTCTGTGTTGCTGTTTGAATCTGTGTCCACATAGTGCAGGTAGTTAAGGTCACCCTTCCTTGTCACTTCATTCCTTGCTTACTTTCTGCAGAAGTAAGTTATGAATTCTTACTGTCTGTAGTCTTTAGATATACGGACTGATCCACCTGGTGACTTCCAACCAGCGCACAAACATTAAACTTCTTTTGGTGAGACATTCAGCAAAAGCAAGAAATGCCTGTAAGTTGCATTGGCATAAGTTGTGGCACTGTGAATGCATTGCATTAAAACATGTTGCTATGTCAAGTAACACATCACAGTAAAGTTGAACATGTCATAATACATGTACTGACATTTTTTTCTCTTAGTATTGCAAAACGTGCTATTTTCTCCAAATTCTAAATTCTACTTTGTTTCATATTAGGATTTTTTTTGTTTTGAGCTAACCTTTAAATTACTTAGAGGTCCATGTGGCTGTAAGCATCTTATGGAACTAGAAAGGCTAGTCTGTGATATTTAAGCTGGGCAGCAATATATCTGCAAATGTTTCATTCTGTTACTCTGCATTTCTGTTTCTCTACCTTTTTGTTCTTCAAAGAGCAAAAATACATACTAGTTTTTTTAGTTAAGATCATGGTAGCAAAAATTTTGAGCTAATTTTGTTCTGCTGCATTTCTTTAGTAAGTGGTCTTAGGTTATCTTTTTATCACCATGATACGAGGCTCCCTTTGGCACTGTGCTGAGGCAGAAACTTCTTAGAACAGTACTTAGGCTGATAAAGCTGTCTTCTTCAGGCTGTTAAAATGTGAAGGAAATAATTCATATACTCCAGATCTTAAAACAAAAACATTCAAAAGAAATCATAAACTGCAAGAACAGTTCAACATTTGCACTATTATATTATTACCATTATGTGTTTTAATTGCCTATAAAATGGAAGGACAAAGTGTTGACTAATGCATGAGGAAACAATTGCACCATGTTCTTGTAAATTGTATAGAAGATGTTCAGCGCAAACTGTTTTCTTTTGGTCCCTCTGATGCCGTGCTTAGTTTGGAATTATTCTCTGGCTAGCTTTGACAGGTAGGATTGATTTTGTCACTGAAAAACAGTAGCTATAAATTATTGTCACCCAGTATTTACCTTTAGAGTATAAACATTGTTTCCTGCTATTACCCACCACTAAACAGAGTACAATTTCACTGGAAGCAGCTCTTGGTTAATTGTGCATGCTGTTTGCATGTTTTTCAGAATAAATTTCTGCTCTACTGGATAGGTAAATACAATGACTCCCAGCTGTAAAGAGTAGAAGAGTAAAAGATGCTCTTAAAAAAAAAAAGTAAAGGAAAGGTAGAAACAGAAGATTTTTTGCAGTTCTGAATTTAGAATACTGAAAATAAGGAAATATGGGGAGTTTGATATATTTACTTTTATAGTACTTAGCTAAATCTCCTGTTAGTTCAGATAGCCATTTAAACACATTTGTGTAGGTGTTAATGAGTTGATACTTGAATTGAGGATACCTCCTCCTGGTTATTCTTTTGCGTGCTCACATTTAATTAGCTTCTATAATTATTTTTTCCAATTGACTTTTCCAAAAATTATTTTCTTAAGTATTTTGCATGCAACATCCTCACCAGAACACCTCTGATTTATATTTGGAGGTTTATTCTCCATTTCCTTACGTCTCTTGCAAATGTTTTTACCAAAATAAAGTTGCATGTAGAATCCTTAATTCATTATGTAAAGGTGTGATTTGAGGATATAATGGTAAGGCTAAAGACCACAGACATGCGTATTGTTTGAATTCTTTCCTAGAACATTGGAAAGGTTCTGTGCAAATTTGGCCAGTCAGGGTGGATTCTGTAGGAGCGCTTCAGATTTCATAGTTGACGTGCCTTGCCCTTCATCTATAATGCTACTGCTATTTATGCAAATAATTTCCTGGTGTTAGGTATCTGGGTAACAAATGGATTTAATCTTAACTGGTGAAGATAAATAGCGTCAGCGAGTTAGAATGAGTTTTATCTCGGTGTACAAAATGAATCATAGGACATGACTCATTTTTTGCTTTAATACTCGCATCAAATTGTAAGTAAGGACAAGGACTGCCATGAACCGTCATACTTGGACATTGGAGGCACAGAGTGATCTCTGATCCTAATGTCAGACCTTGCCTATTGCCTCAAGACAAATAATGCTTCCATAGTATTTTTTACTTCTGTAACTTACTAGAATAAGAAAATTGTTGTATGGTTCCCCACCTGATATCATGTCGGTAGTTTCTTGCCTCTCCCAAAAGAAGTAGCTGAAGGAAAATCTTTTCATACAGACTATGGACAGACAGTATCAATAGGAACCATTGTGTTATGGGCATTACTTTTTCCCACAGGACAGTTGCTCCATCATCAGTCAAGAGCATACAGACTGCTGTGGAAAGATGAGTGTTGGCATCCGTAGCTTTACTGGATGCACAAGCTCAGCACAGAAACTGCGGTGTGTTGTGGTTCTTTTAGCTAGATGAGAGTTTTCAGCAAGAGCTAATCTGATTATTGTTTTTTTCGGCTTTTGGCGTACTGTCTGCAAGACCTAGCATGTCCAGACTTGCTAAAATTCATTGCTTCCTCTGTGCCAAGGAATTCTTTGGAAGTCTCAATTCATTCATGTAGCAAGGTTACAGCAGTTGCATACAGTCGAGAAATGACACATTTGGTTGCCAGGAGTTAATGTGCCTAAATGTTTGTCTGGTGTTTGTTGATTCCTTTCCACTTCCAGTAGCTTGTAAGAAAATGTTGCCTCTTCCCTGGAAAACTGTTCATTGTGATAAAATCATTCCATCTTATTTCCTTAAAATTCCCAGTATCTTTTGGCAGTCTCAAAAAATGGGAAAAAGACCTGTACTGAAGAAGAGGTAGCAGAATAAGAGAAAGGGGGGTTTCAGGGAGATTTGTGTTTGATTACTTTTATCTTCTCGTTAATGGTTGAACTCTGTAATTGTGCTAACCAGCTCTGTAATGTGTGGGAGTCCTGGGAAGGAAGGTGGAGGCTTGTCAAAATACCTGGAAGAGCATTCAAAATAGAAAAGGAAGCATGGGAGGGGCAGAAGCAGAGGATATCAGGAAGAGATTAACTTTGCCCAACGGCTGTCATTGGCAGGCAAGGAGAGACTAGGGGCAAGCTGCCTCGTGTCCTGGCCCCTTAGGGAATAGTGCTTTAAATTTACTCCACACCACTATTTATAATTGTAACCAATCAAACATTCCAGTCTATTTTGCTATTGACTTGCTTTTTGTTGGTTTTTTGTTTGTTTGTTTGTTTGTGGGGGTTCTTTTGTTTGTTTTTTGTTTGTTTGTGTTTTGTTTTGGGGGTTTTTTGGTGTGTGTTTTTTGTGGGTTTTTGTGTGTTGTGTTTTGTTTTTTTTTTTAATTCCTCTTTAAAGATGAGGAAAAAAATTGTTTGGAGTTACATCCGTCTCTATCCTATATTGTATGTAAATTGTACTGTTGGCAGTCATAGAACAAAGACAAGATTCATGACCACTACTGAGGGAGATGGTCAATGGAGACTGCTTTGCTGGGGTAGAATAAACAGATCTATGAACAATTAGAATTTTTTACACAGTTATTAATTATAAACTTTTTTTTTGAGTTCAGGTTAAGGAAAGACAGACAAGTTTAGGAAAGGAAACAGCACAGTTTAGAACAAGCCATATAATGTTGCTGCCTCTCCAGTTTGCTAAGTTGATTTATAATTGTTTGTGTCATGGTAATTATGTGAAGTGACCAGTACTTACAATGAGTAATTTTGTAAGCATTGTTACTTTCCAGAGGTAGGCTCTTCTGCTAGCCATGAGTGTTCTGTACCGTTCTACTAAAAAAAAAAAAAATCAGTAATACATTAAATGTGTCAATAATCTTACTCCTAACAAGCATTTTAGAACCATTAACCAAACATCTACTGTTACAAAAGTAGCTTCAGAAAAAGGAAGGCATTTGGAGAACTAACAGATGAAGTTTTTAAACATTCATTAAGGAAACAAGACACCCAGCACAGTGTAAACCAAGTGATCTGACACATACCTGGAAGTAAGACTAAATTTCCACTCCTTGTGCCTAGATTATGCCTGAATGCAATATTGTATTACGTACTCATCTCTGAGCCTATCGCTGACTGAAAACATCAAGTTAATGAATTAGCCCTGAATTAGTCATCTTCTGGCCCCTCTCCCCCCAAAGGTGATTTTCACTGTTTCAGGCTTTTAGTCTGAGAGAGTCGCTTGAAGACTGCGGTATGCACATACATGTTAATTATTAACTATATCTACAACAGGCTTTTTTCATACAATGTCTGAATGCAGTTTCACATTTGCTGTCAATAAAACAGGCTCTTTCAGTGACTCCTTCCAAAGTCCAGAAACTGCATGAAGAATACTGTTTGCTTTCTTTATCTAACTTTCTGTATGAGGCAAACTGCATTAACTACACCTGTTAGGAAAAAATTTATCTGAATTAGAAATGCTGTGGGAATCCAGAATATTTAGCATCTGTTGAAAAATCATCTGCCCTTTCTCACCCACAACTAACAACAAACCAGAAAACTTGTAAGTAGATTCTGTTTCACAGGCCTGATGCCGGGGATTGCACTGTTTAATTTTAGAGGGGTTTGCAAGGGGGTTAACTGTCTGCCAGATAAGAGAGCAGATAAGGAATTCCTGGCGACTTTAGTGCTTTACAATGCAGAAGAAATACGACTCCAAAGAATCCTGCCAGGGCTGTTTGGTCTTGCCTTTTTCATCTCAGCTGCAGGATTGCAGTGATGTTGGAAAGCTGATACCTGTGGAATGCCAGCCTGAAGTGCAGTTCCCTTTTGGTATGTTATGATTTAGGGAACATATTGGTAGAACTTCTGTAGTGACACGAGATGTTCCAGCCTGGAAACGGAGCTGCTCTGCCTTCTGCTAGACTTGGGTGTTTCAGCTGAAAGTGATGATGTGAACACAGAACTCTCCCGAATGCACCATTTAAGCGGCTGCAGCTCTTCTCTGATTAAGGGCAGGGAGAAGAAGATTGAGAGGCAGTGTGGAACACTGCACCGTGGCATTAAAGGCTGTCTCAGAGGTCTTCCCGTTAGAAAGGTTCAGATGGGCAGTGATCCCAAGTTCCAAACAAAACACTGATGTAAACGGAAAACACACCCAGGCTCTAGGCTGGGTGACGGTGCCCCTCGCCGGCGGCAGCGGCGACGGGCTCCGCCGGGCCTGCCCGCAGGTCGGCTCTGTGCCCCGGGCCCGTCCTAGGGGCGCCTCGGGCAGAGCCGGACACCAAAGCCCAGGGGCACGGCCAGGGTCCCCTCCGGAGAGACGTGACGGGCAGGGAAAAGCCGGGGGGCGGGGCAGGCTGGCCGCGGTGACTCAGCGGCGCGGAGCACCGGGCTGCGACCGGTATTTCCTGTTCCCCCGCCGCGGGTGTCGGTGCGTGCGGGCGTGGGCCGCGGACAGCCGGGCGAAGGTTCCCCGGCCCTGGGTGGCGGCGGCCGCAGGTGGGGCCCCGCCCAAGGAGGGGGTGCGCTTCCCGCCCCGTCCGGCTGCCCCCGCTCCTCCCCTGCCGTGCCTCGCTCTCCCCATCCCTGCCCTCCCGTCCCCACCTGGGTGCGAGGCTGGCACCTGCGGCGGGAGACCGCCCCGGCGTGGCCGCGCCGCCCCCGCCCGCGCCCCGCAGGAAATCGCTCGACTCGGCAGGAGCGGCCACAGCGGCCCCGGCCCCACACCCACACCCGGCCCCGCACTCGGACTCGGCGCCCCCGTCGCTGCCCGCTCCGGAGCGGCGGGGCAGGGCGGAGGGTAGGGTGAGCCGCGGTCCCAGCGCCGGGCCGCCTCTGGGAC